GTTCATGTGTGTAAGTGCTGTGTGTGTGTGTGTGTGTGTGTGCGTGCGTGTGTGTGTGTGTGTGTGTGTTTTCTGTGTGGGTGAAATAGAAGAGTTTCGTGTTCTCATCTCACTGTTTTTTTCTCTCTGTTTGTTTGACTATCTGAACACAAAGTTGTTGAAGATTTTATCATATTTCTCATGAACTATTGCACACGAAAAGAAATCCGATGCTCGTATCTTGTGACTGTTTATCACTGTCTTTTGATTCTAATCCAGATGTGACATTTCTGAACATGTTCTGTTATTAGAATAACAAAGTGAAAGGATTGTGCAGCCCTGTGCAAAGTGTATCCACACGCTGGAAGTCAGACGATGTAGATCACCGTTTCCCAACCTTTTCTGTCATGTAGCACCACGGTTCTGTACAGAGGAACTTAATTAACCCTCCTTTGACGCCACCTTTTATATTCCGAATGTTACACTTGTGAAAATGTAATACAATACAATATTTTGCACTTTCCATTATTAAGTAGTTTTGGTTTTAGTTTGCATTTGTAATACTACTTGAAGGAGCAGAAGCTGGATTATCAGCCATGTATCCATTACTTTTAACCGTTTCAACCTTAAATCCACCAGTTTCAACTGTGTAATCATTACTCAACTGCAGTTTCAACTGATCTCCTCGCTATAACCATGTTAGTTTTCACACATTCTCAATATTTTGTTACAGCGTTACAGTTCACTTAATATTGTATATACTTTTTTTGTTTAAACAAATGTTAATACCACGTACTCCCTGGCAGCGGCGGATGTAGCCTTGACTGAGAATCTCTGATGTAAACCTCAGAAACGAGGTTAAGGGGAATGAGAGGAGCACAGACATATAAAACGTTCATTTATTCTGCACGAGGGCGGACTCAGAAATAGGAGAGGGGTTGTCCTCGAGGTCAGACGCCCTTTCATGTTATGGTTGAGACGAACAACAAACGGCTGGAGGACGGAGAGGACAGGTAAAGGACAACACAGGCAGGCTTGGACTCAGTTTGTCCCGGCCTACAGGCTCGGCTCAGTCTCTCCCTGCTGCCGCTCTGTTTTCATTAAGTCCCTAACTGGATTTTCCAATATCAATAGTCCCAATAAATCCATCTCTATGGGACATTCAACGACATTATTCTTGTCTTTCCTCTGTGCTGGGGGAAAAGTGCTCGGCACAGTTGGGAACAAGATGTCCAATCTGCACTCCTCGCCATTGTCTTCCCCACCAGACAGCCCCAGTGAATGAATGCTCTCGGCCAAATCCCCCTTCCATGTGCAGACGCCGACTCCCTTGCCCACAGATGCGCTCGACTCCAATTAGGCAGACCGCTGGACGTGTTGCGAGGGGGGGGGGAGTGAAATCTCTCTGCACAGACATATCGTCTTGTGGCAGCTTTACAGATTCACGTCTTTTCATCTAGTTTGTCTGCATGTGTGTATGCTGGTGCTGAGGGAGAGAAAGACAGGGAGATCTTGTAGTTGCTGCTGACGATTTAGTGATGAACACAATCCTTACTTTTAATGTAAGGCACAAAGCTGCACTCAAACAAATGTCTGACTATCAGAGAGTGTGTGTGTGTGTGTGTGTGTCAGTGCTGCAACATGTTGCACGGCTTTGCACAGCCCTGCTGCTCGTGCAGTTACAGAGTGCACAGTACGCTTCAGATCTACAGAACTTGCTGAGCATTCCCCCTGAGACATGCGTCATCAGCACAGAGGTTATTTCCTGTAGTTGAAGAGCAGCATGAGTCTCTTCCTGTTCTGTGTGTGTGAAGAAGAAGCATCAGGTTAGTCCCCCCCGTCCCAGTTTCTTCTCTACTGGTCACATTACGAGGCAGACAAGCGGTTCGCAGTAGACATCTTGTCCTTATTTCGTCTTTCACTCTTAAAGAATTCAAGATATCCCAAATAGAGATATCCCTGTCTGAATAATCCAATACCACGCCTTCAGCTTCTGAACAGGAGCCCCGCATATACTGCCAGTCTCACCAGTCTGATTCTTTTTAAGGTGAATGTTTCAAATATTCACTTTGAGGCAGACTCAAGTGAGAACTGTCACGGTGGTTATGTTTCAATGTCAAGTCGCAGCAGTATAGCTTCTGTGAAGTGAAAGAGCGAAGCCGATCCCTTTGGAAGTATTCACCATTACCCTCAGTGCATTCATGGATTGTGATGACTACCTGTAGGCCTCGACGCTTCGGCTCTATAAAAGGAGTGCTCCAGCTCAAGTTACGGAAGAGACATAACTTTATGGAAGAAAATATCAAATATGAAGCGCTCATTCCTCAACATGCATGACATTTGAAACGAATAGATGCATCGTATACTTTAGAGGTGGGTATTTCAACGTGGCACTGACATGCATGCAGTAACATTTCTGGAAAACATTTGATTTTTGCTTTGCTGGTTATTCAGAGTTTCAGGTTAACACTGTTGTGACCCAATTTCCCCCAAAAAAGACCCTGTGCATCGTGATTATAGTTAACCAAATCTATGAAACCGACTATATTGCAATACAGCATTAATGAACTTCAGCACGCAGAATCAATCACGACCATAGAAGTGTTCTGTCTTTCCGTCTGGCGCTTCTTTTACCCAACCAGAAGAGCTGTTACCTTCTGCTTCCTCGGCTCATCTCCTCCCTCCTCTTCTGTGTCTCCGGGGAGGCTCTGCAACACGGTCCCTTCCAGCAGCTTCCTCCTAACAACAAAAAGATTGTCTTATTCCATTTTATTTTTCCTCCCCTCTATCTCAGTGGAGCCATTACTTTGCCTTATTCTGCATATGAGCTGGGGGGCGATGGGAAGGCGGAACAACATTGGCCGTGGATGATAATGTTCTTTCCACAGAGCTGAAATCTACGAGCTGCACTTTTCTGCTGGTGGTTTTGCAGCTATTTGGTTTTGTTGCAGTTCAGCAGAGTGGAGGAGAGTCGTGCTCTCATTGTGGCCTACTGGTAACAGTTGTATAGGCCGGTGTTACATTAAGCAGTAGCCCACTCAAAACAGAGAACGAGCAAACTAAATACAGGAGCTTGTGCCAAGAAGACCGTGTCCAACTCATCCACTTATTTATCCTCAAAGCTAGCAGCTGAGGGAGGAAGCCATCAATTCTAAAAGTATGAAGACTCCACAGCCACGCTAGCGGCTCTGTGAGGAAGTACTCTGGTACTGTGGTACTTTGAGCTAATGCTAATGTCAGCCTGCTAACATTCTCACGATGACAACGTTAACAAACTGATTTAGTATAAAGTTGATGATGTTCAGCATTCAGCTGAGATGGATGGGAATGCCATTAGCTTTGCACACATTTGCTCATAAACTTTGAGAAACAAAGATTTGACCTGGTGATGGCACTGATAAGTCCTGTCCGTCCGACAGTTGTGGAAACACTTCACTCAAAGAAAAGAAAGGTCAGGGAATCACCAAACGCATTAGTATTCATCCTCTGCGGACCACAAATGTCTGTAATAATTTTAATTTCATTGGTCATCCAGCCAATGGCTTTTGAGACGGAACCGACACTGCCACACTGCCATGCTGCTTGGGTGGCTAAAACAATTAATTCATGACTTTCTAAAACACCTGTGTGTGTGTGTGCGTGCGTGCGTGCGTGTGTGTGTGTGTGTGTGTGTTAATTTTGCTCTGTAAGTGGGCCAAATGAGCAGGCAGCAGACTGGTACAAATCCGACACCGGGACTCCCTGGGACTACAAAGGCCTGAAATTTGATACACTTGCAAAAACAACCAAATCCCACAGGAGTTCTCCTTCAAGTTAAGTTCTTATTCCCCAGCCAAATACTTTTTTCCTTCGCTTTTGTTCAAAGATAAATTTACTGTTAACTACACTTGGCGGAGATCAAACAAATATGGCGTTTTTTTTTTTAGGGGTATGAGGTGGATGTGTGAGGCATTCATTTCTTAGTGGCACAGACATAAAGCATTTCCTGCTACAGAAATGGCTTGTATGGCACATTAAGAACATCATTAATTCACTCCACAGTAACTTTATAAATCAAAGAGTGAGATTGCAATGATTCGTGTGTTATTATGGCACCAGGGTTGCAGCTATCCAGCTGTGCCGTGCTTTGCTTACCTACATAAGCTTTTTTATATCTTTATTGTGCTGATTCCCTGTTCAGGAACAGAAAAAAAAAGACAGAAATGAGTCAGTAACTGGTCGTGCTGATATGGCAAAGATGCATGTTTTTACACTTTACAACTGGGTGCTGACAACACAATTAAAGTATGATTTAAAAGGAATGCATTACAAAATTCAGGCAGGTAAGCTCGGTAGTTTAGGTCCAGGCCGTTTTGTTGTATAGAACATCTGCTGTTTGTATTCAATCTTTTAAACACTCTCTAGTTTGAATATATGTGACTATGAATTCGACTTTTAGCAAACTCCTCCAGCCTTCATACCTTACAAAGAGCAATATCACCCCCCAGTGGCACAATCTGAGGTGACAGTGAGTTTGAGGCCTATTAACCAGATCCATTGCTGCCATTGAGGTAGAGAAACACACGTGGTGCATGTTTTGAACTTGGTTACTTTTAGGGCCTACAAAAATAGTCGATAAAAGCCCTAGAAACACATTCCTCGTATCATGGAGAGGGCTTTGAAACACAATTTAGAACCTGTTGGTAAAAAAAAAGTACAGTCAATAGACAATGAATAAACAGCTAACTGACTAACGCCCTTTCTAATGCCCTGTATATGGCCCTAATGTCGGGGGTTTCCAAAACACAGAGATATTGCATTACATTTGGCAATGATGATAACCAAATTACAGCATAAATTAAGTTTTATCATAACATACAGTTGTGAACATACAGTAGAAACCCCTACAGAGCTGTTGACTACAGGCTATATTGTAAGCAGGCAGTGAGGGGAAAAAAAGTCCCATCTTGAGTCGCCGCCCAGTTCGCACTAGGCAGGGCATGTCCTACACCAGTTACATCATTCTATCAAGTAGCAGCAGGATGGATGCCGGTTCAAGCAAGTTCCCCGTGTGGTTTATCGCCTTTGTGTTGCTCTCGATCCATGTGTATGTGTAAGTACAGTGACACAGACAACTGATGTGAAGTGTGTGAGCTCGAAGTTACGCGGTATGTTACAGGTGTTACGTAGAAGTCTGTAAAGCTGGCCTTAACTGATTTTACCCCTGGATCGTGTTCCGGTGGTCTCTCGGTCAACGTTAGCAGTTTAATTTGGGTTAACGCTTCATTCGTAGTTAGAGACGACTGATACGGTTTGGGAAAAGGGATGGGTAGAGCTACGTGTGATATTAGATATAGATATATGTGGTTTTAAGGCTTAGGTGGGGCTCGAGTGAGCTTACTTTCACTTTCGTTTTTGTCGCTTCCTCTGCAGGGCGGAGGGGATCGAGAGCAGCAATCCCTGCGTCGATGGGACGTACGATGACAGCGGAAGGAGATGTTGTCTGTGTAGTACAGGTAGGTAGTGGTTAGGCTGTGTGTGTAGAAGTTCACTTTCAACCTAAATAATGTCTTGAAAATCAGTTCACACATTCTGCAGCCTTCTTTAATGAAGAGGGCGGCAAATAATCAAGTCTGGTTACAATGTGATTGACAGACTCTTTATATAGTGCAAGAAAACAACATTTTGATGCAGGGCCCTTTGACATGAGCCTCAAGAAAAGGTAAACAAACTAATAAATGCAGGAAGTCTTCCCTGAACATTTCAGTTTTTATTGTGCAATAAATTAACCACAGAGTACCTGATGCACATGTCATGGTCCTTTGGGCCCTTGTGGTCTGGGGCCCCTGGGCAGTATTTCATGACGTAATACGTCCCAGCCTCTTTACCTGTAAACTCAACCTGTGAGGTAGGTAGGTCTACATCGTACAAGCGAGTGGATCTTTTGTGTTGTTGGACAGAGGCCCATCACGCAAAACCTTCAGTCACTGCAGACAGATAACATGCATTTTAAGATGGTTTTTCTGGAAAAGTGGTACAGTATCGTCTAGAATATGTTTGTATGTGGCTTTCTGTGAAGGTGTGTAAATCATGAGCCATGTGTCTCCATACTGTAGGTCAGTACTTGAAGGACCACTGCACTACGGATCTACAATATGGAAAATGCGAAAGATGTCCTCCAAAAACTTACAGCAGTCAGCCTAATAACCTGGACTCCTGTGAGCCCTGCACATCCTGCTCACAACCTAATGGTATATAACAGGACATCACTGTTTCGTTAATTTTTATTTAGGAAAAATACAGTTCAAAGCCAAGTTTGGTCGGCCCCTCTAATGTCAGTTGTGTGGTTTTACCGTCCTTTTAGCCAATCTCGAGGAGAAGGAACCCTGTACCTCTGCCGTTGACACTAAGTGCCGGTGTAAACAGGATCACTATTGCAGCAGTGGCACAGAAACATGTATACTCTGCAACCCTTGTAAAGAGTAAGTTCTGCTCCTTCTAATATCCCTAAACTAGAAGATGTATATATAGCTTCTTAAAAACAGGGTCACAGCGTGTTTATTGTCCTGTTCCCATAGACTGCCAGCAGAATTTTAAAGAAATAATACATTTTGTCTCACTCATTCTTTCTTTTCTTTTGGTTAAAGGTGTCCGGAGGGCACCAAAGTAGCCTGTTCAGCCCACAATAACACAGTCTGCAATGGTAAAATTGAAGGTTTGGTTTAGTTTTGCATCATTGCACCATGATGGTCTCGGTTCGGAGATTGCCATGTAATTTATAAACAGAAGTGTTATAATTTTGTTTGTGCTAAAATATAATGTGTTTTTTGTGTTTCAGAGGTAAATAACAACGGGGTAATAATCAGCAGTATCGTAGGATCACTCATTGGAACTCTCTTAGTTGCTCTTATTGCATATTGTATATGCAAACGCTACCGTGAGTATTTCTCAACTGTATGTATATGTATATATATATATATATATATGTAGAGGACACTAGAACCTCGTGTGTTTCTCAATAAAACTAGGAAAGTTCAGTAATATTACCTCGAGGTTCTGTTCACGTTCAAATCAAACGCTTTTGTATCTACTCAATAATACATGTGTGTCTTTTACATGATTTATCTCATTAGGGACGAGAACATTTAACCCAGACCAACTGACAAATGTTGCTTCTGATGTGGTAAGTTATTCTCGTTATCTCTTTCATTCCGTTTGTAACCCTCTGACCAGCTGTTAAGACGTTTGTCCGTTGTCCTGTTTTATCTCTCCTCTGTTGTCACACGTGTACACATGTGCATGTATGATAAACACTTTTCTGTCTCTCCTCTAATGTTGACATAGCTGCCCCTTTCTATGGGAGGTGCAGGTTAGTTGTCTGAAACCTTTGCTGTCCGTGTTGGTGTCATTGCTCTGTGTCACTTCTACTGTGCTGTGGCGTGTTTGTAAAGCCTATGTGAGCAGTTTGTTATTTTATCACTGTGGCGTTAAATTACTACTAAATTAACATTCATGCTTCTTCTGTTTCACAGGAGATGCGGCAGCTTCTTAAAGGTAAGAAATGCCCCAGAAGTCCTTTTTGTATTAATGCAATATCGGACCTTTAATTGATATTTCTCTACACTATAGATTAAATACATGATCAATTGATAATCAGACTGCATTGACATTTCATTTTATGTCAATATTCAGTCTGATATTGTGCGTATGTTAGATGATTTCTGTTTGGGAGGGTTGTATTTTATTTAGTCTTGTCCTAACCAAGTAGTGAGGAACATATTATGTTTCTAAGTACTTACTTCTAACTGGTTAGTACAACACCAGACCTAAATTAATCACTGAAAACATTTAAGATGTGAGCAGCGATTTAGAGGTCTGGAAACAGGCCAGATTGGTGTTTTTTTGTCCATTAGAATCAAAATGCCTTTATCACATTAATCCCCACTTTCCCTGTCTTTAACGTATCTCCAGTGGTTGATCTCCAGCCTCACCGCTCTGACATTGCAAAAGCGATTGGATGGAAGGATATGCGGGATGTAGCAAGGCGCAGCGGAATATCAGAAAAGGATATTGAGTCTTGTCAACTGGACAACCCTGATGATAGTCAGGAGCAGACAGTTCAACTACTAAACAAATGGATGGAGAAGCAGGGAAAGGAGGCTTCAAAGAACTTGATCAAAATCCTTGATCAAAATGACAAAAGGACCACAGCAGAGAGGGTGATGGAAATATTGTCTAGCTCACAACTTCCTGCTTGAATGTGAGCACTTTTTAAATATTTGCAGTGCTGTCGGTATGAATTATTATTTTGAACTCAGTTTGTCAGTCTCTCTGTCTTGTACTTTGTGTTGGGGTCTGACATTGTGTGCTTAGAACAAAGACTCAGCTTTCACCTTGTGGCTATTTGAACAGAAAAAATGACTTGGGCCTGTTTGTTCAGACAAAAGCCTGATTTGAGTTTAAGACAACACCAACCCCCCGGGAAACGTTTTCACACCTACGTGTGAAATCTTCATCCCAATACTAAACTAGGGTCTCAGTGGACAACAGACACAGACACCCCAGGACTTCCTGTGATGCAGCTCTGCCTGTCCCTGAAACTACAAAACTCTCCGTCCCGTCCAGCTCTTGGCCCTTCTCGCCTGACTCGCGCCGGTGTAAGGAGGCAAGAACACAGCTTTGCTGCTTTTAAAAGAAAATCCTCGGCTACAGTATTCATTTTTGTTTTACAAAGTCCATTTGTGCCACAGCTTGTATTGTGTATTAAACCTCATTAAATGTATTTTTAGGAAACATTTCACTGTTGGCTCCTAATATGTTGTGAGTGGTCTATTGTCTATTGCTCATAGACAGATTTTTCTGTTCAGTCGTCCTTCCCTAATCTTAAAACCAGAATACCACAGACCATCTTCATAGAGAACTAATACACTTCTACTGCCCTTTCCTTGGCTTGTTGCGCTAACTGTATCTATAGTCATTTCATAAGTCCCACATTTAAAAGCAATTCTGGTGAAAATCGTACTCTATAAACTAAAATATTGGCCAAGTGTTACTTATAAGTACTTAGAAATGTGTATCTGTATTGTTCCTGCTATTTTACGCTCTTATTTTGTAACAGTAACATTACTGCACCCCTTAATACTTGGAATGCTGATTCAGCATGACATGTTGAACTATTCCTTGAAGTACATGTTTTAATGTAGTATGTTGAGGTATTATAAGTAAGTAAGGGGTTTCGGTAGTTCTTCCACGGTAAACTGCGTTTGTTTTAAGTCGGCTTAAAAGTGTGGAAATTAGCAATATTGCAAAGAAATGCTTTTATTTAGACCGTCCGCTGATGATTACGTTTTTAGGGGTTTCAAAACTACAGATTTTCTAATCATCCAAGTTCTGCAAAATAAAATAATCGACTATAAAATAAAAAGTTGGCTACATTTTCATGATTATACTTCCATACTTTTACACAAGTAACATTTTGATTGCAGGGTTCTTTGGAGTAGTTTAGTTAGATAAAAGTTAGTTAATGGTTTGTTAATGGTTAGTTAATATTTGTTTCCTCCAACAATATTTCCTATGTCACATTTTTTACAAGGTGACCGTATGTTTTGTATTCAAATGGATATAAAGGAATATAAAACTGTCAATAAAAGTAGGCCACACAAAATTGCACAATTACAGCAGCATAAGTGCAACCGACAGTGAGTCTTTGCATGTCAATGTGCACACCATTCATAACATGTTCACAGCCATAGACTGTATATAACAGGTCACAGCTCTATTTGGGATGAAGAGGGGGTAACTGGGCGGTGTCTCTGTCCATGGGTGGAGCGCATAGTCAGGAAATAAGTCAAGAGCTGCGAAATAGTTCCCCTCGTTGTTCACACAGGTTTTTCATGAGGCCGCTTTCACCGGAGAGAGCCGCCAACATACGTTTACCACCATGACCTTAGACAGAGAGCAGCACAAAGGTAGGTTTATCACCGCTTTCTCACACTTTAATCTTTTTAATGTACTTCTCTTCACGTTTACATCAACGAAGAGCGAGTTCAAAGTCGTTAAACATGCAAATGTGTTGCCCAAATGATGCTGCGTATATTTCCTGGAATGTAAACGTTTTAATTGTCGCTTTTTTTGCTTCAATGCTTAACACGAGAGCTACTACAGAGCCCAGTGTGTTAGATGTAAAGTGACACGTGTGTCAGGAATAACGTTTTTTTTTTTGCTGCCGCGACATTTCCGTGATGAGCGGATTACTATTGTGTTGCTGAGACAACAGAGGTGGTAACCGTTGGCAGTGTGTGTGTGTGTGTGTGTGAGAGGCGTCACTGTACACCGTTACGTCATAGTGGGTGTTTCAACTTCACATTGAGGCCTTCTAATGTACTTAGAATAAGTGCAAAAGTACTCCTTATTGCTACTTTTACTCAAATAAAAGTAGCAATATCACGTATCAAGTATGCTATTTCCTGCTTTCAAAATGACTACCCTACAAAAGTATTTGCATCAAAATAAACTTGCAAAAGTACTCATCATGCATAGTGATCAATTTCATATTAATTTATGTATTATTATTATTGGCTTTGACTTTTACTGATGCAACAATGCGTACATCACTTTAATGTTGCAGCTGGTGAAGGTTGATTCTGTAATATTACATCACAATGTAATAGTTGACTCCTTTTTTTGTATTTATAGTCTGAAGTACAATATTACCCTCCGAAATATAGTTGTGTAGAATTCTATTCAGTAATCAGTCATGTACCTTTAGTAGTTTTACTGTTACCAGAGTAGTTTTACATAGCGGCCTTAGCACTTAACGTTGTAACTGAAATCTTTCAGAGGAAAATTGAGTAGCACAGGATTCTGGCCTTGTTCATGTGGACTGCATGTTCTGTAACAACAGATGATCCCAGATGATTTTTAATGAACTATACTGCACAGGCCTCTCTCTGTCCGGCTTTGTGTTTGTTTGGATGGACTGAACCATGTAAGCGTTGGAAAACAGTCCAGTGAGTAAGTCATGGGAAGTTTCCCCGGCTCTGTGGCCGCACATACTCGGCCATTACCGCTGTCATTTTAACGCTCAAGTCTTGACAGAACAGCTCATGCTCTCATGATCTTACAGTGACATCATGATGTACGTGTACTTCCCATTTCTTGTTCACTTAGTTTGCCGAATGAAGGAAGCCTCAAACACCTTGTATTCCTTTAAAGATTATAATGGTGATGGTTAGATTCAGTCTATCCTCACCAGTGCAGTTCTCTCTTTAGCTTCTACTGAAAGCTTGGAACATAAGCAACATACTTATGTAATTTCCTCTTCTCTGCAATATATTGCAAGAGTTGTCGGTTATCTGACGTCCAGGAAAGAAGCTAATAGTGTCAGTGTTTCCCACATTGTTTCACTTACAAGCTGAATTTCATCATATATATAATCTTTTGGACATTTTCCAGAAAGGGAGGCATTACTCATTTTATTTTGGACAGAATGTTAACAGGATGTAAATGCTAACAGGCACAATGTTGGTAACTAAAGAGGGTTATCGGAGAAGGGGGACCAAAGGGACTGATACTGGACGAGTGCGTCACTCCCTGATTCACTCAGCCCACTGCCTCTATATTTAGAGGGATAATCTGTGCTTCCCCCTTGGGTGGAGTGCTTTACAAAAATGTTTATACACCATGATTTTCATTCATTTTATTCAGCACATCAACACTCATTTTTGCTAAATTCCACTTCCCAAAAAAACCCAAAACAATTTCTCTTTTTTTTGTTTCAGGGTCTGAGCTGCAGCTGCCCGGACGTCTGCATAAATGTGCGCGTTAGAAACGAGCTGATGATGCAGGGGGCCATTGCGCGGGTGTGTATGGTGGTGGCCGCTGCCATTTTAAACCACCCCTTGCTCCTTCCTCAAGAGAACGCCACGCTCCCGGACCAGGACGAGGAGCTGATGGCTCGGATGCGAATGCACGAGGAGAGGCTGGAGATGGAGCGGGCGAGGCTGGAGAAAGAGCTCTCACAGCTGGACTCGGAGCAGGAAGAAACCAGCTCGGAGGAAGATTACATTTGGTGCTTTTGGAGCGCTGTGTCTTTCGTTGTGTTCTTTGCTGTCGAGGTGGGCAGGGTGCAGGTTGGCGCCGACGCAGCAAATCGGCCAGTTGAGGATGAAGACGTGCTTTCTGAGGGGGGATCCGTCACCCCGAGGACGGTGGCGCTGGATAAGGAGATCCTGAGCAACTTCTGCGACAAATGCACCTACACTTCAGCCCACGAAAACTGGCGGGTGAGGGAGTTCGTCGAGGGTTTTGCGTACGACTTGCTGGATTCGCTCAGGAGCGTGTGTGACAGGCAGGCGGACATGGAAGTCTGGGACTTCGTCGGGATCGGAAGCATGTTCGAGTCGTGGAAGGCGTGCAAGCCGCTGACGTGCGACCTCATAGTGCCTTTCTCGCCTCCAGATCCGTACTCCTTCCAGTTCCAGCTGTGGTGCAGCCCCTCCAGTGACGTGCCTCCAGACATGCAGGGCTGCGGCAGGATAAAGGTGAGCAGGTTTGGGGAGAACCAGGAGGGCTGCGTCTGCGGCTCCGCTAACCTGGGAGAGGACATGCTTTGTCTGTTGCACGGCGAGGATGACGCAGTCCAGGTGGACCGCAGTCCCGATGAACTGCTGTGCTCCAGGAACACGCGCTTCTTAGCCAAAGATCAGGTCACGAAGTGGTTTCAGGTCTCGCTCACCAAAGCGTGGGGACGCATCTCTTACAAATACGACTTTGAGCTCACTTTTCCCAACCTGGACGCCGCCGGTGCTCTGAAGATCCAATTCCCTTCTGGGAAAGTGATGGTGATGAACATCATACCGGTGGTTCAGCTGGAGGACACAGACGCTTACTTTGTCTCGCACTTCCCGTCTGATTGCGACGGCTCTCCGGACCCGTGCTGGCCCCTCTCTTTTGCCGTCTACGAGCGGAATTTGCTGAAGCATTTCTCTAAACGCCTACCGCAGAATTCCTGTCATTTACACTGCCTTCAGATTGTTACTTTCCTACACAGGAAGCAGACGGCGCTCACGGGGAAAAGTTTCCTCACTAGCTACCATTTAAAGACCGCTCTGTTGCACCTGCTGCTGACTCAAAGGCCCTCCTCCGTGTGGAGCGTCGAGAGTACGGAGCACAGGCTCCGGGATGTGCTCGGCTTCTTGCAGAGGAGCCTGCACGAGAAGAGACTTCATCACGTTCTGATCGGGAACAGTAAAGTGCCGGAGGAAGTCCAGGTTCCCGAGATGTTTCGCAAAGCCGAGCCTGTCAATCTGTTCCGGTCCCTGGTGCTGCGGAGGGAGCTTCATGCAGCGACAGTCAGGCATTTCCACGAGATGTTGAGAAATGCGCCTGTGCTCATACAAGAGTACACGCACCACACTTACGCCACAGACTAGATGAAAGTCTGTGAGCTATGGCTTATTTTAGTTACAGCTGATATCTTGACACAAAGTATTTTTTTTTTTTTTAGCTGCAGCTGCTTTCTTCACACCTGACAAGGTAACCAGTGTGACTAAATGACTCCAATTCAACAACTGTAGGAGAGATTTTACAGTAGATATCGGTCAGCCTTTAAGAGAAGCAGCAGCAATCTAATTAAAAGATCATTTTAGAAATGCATTTGGGAAAACATTTGAACAGAAATACCTCTCATAATACGCCAGTCTAAACAGTATAGCAGTGCTTTGGTTTTCATTCATACTGTTGCAGATCTGATGGCAGCTATTAATAGTGCAATGTTTTGTATTGCTTATCAAAAAGCTTTTTATTTTGCCCGTTACATTTCTGCTCTGTTGTCTTCACTTTATTAAATTAGACTGTCTGGTGGTGGGGGGGGGTCCTAATGTAGTTAATTTATTAAAACAGACAGAAAATTCAAGCCAGTCATTACATCCACCGTTTTTATTAGAGAAAGCACTGGATCATTGAAAACACATCGAGTCAATTTACTTCACTGAACCTCATTTCCATTATGATTCCTATTTTTTACCTCAATAACAAAATCAATGGCCAATAAAAACACACCCCTTCAATGTCAACTCATCATAGTATTTGCTAACACACGACCCCCAGAGTAACACAATCAAAAGATGGGTATGAATAATAAACGGGACGGTTTTAAGCTTTTGGTCACTTCTTTTCTACAGGCCATAGTTGTAGTCGGGTTTCCCCTCCCCGAAGCTCTTGTTGAAGGCCTTGTGGGTGTCCACACTGTGCATTGTGGCTTTGACAGCCGGGTCCTCCAACATTAGCTCGGTCCACTTCTTCAGCTCAGGTGTGCCGTCAAGGAAGCTGCAAAGACAACGGGAATCAAAATCATTCACCTGAATACAACACATGAACATGAGGCGCCCTCGTGAAATAATACGACATATCAGACGTGGTGACGGAAGAGGACTCGTTTCTGATGACATTCCCTGCTCCTTTCTTGCATGTCTTACTTTTGTACTGTACCTCATATTTGTACTTTTACCTTGTGAGTGAAATGCTTCCATAAATATATTTATTTTTTGAAATGTCTTGGGAGAGTATTGCTTACGATTTCAGCCCAAAGCTCTCCAGCCTCTCAAACCATGGCCACATCATGTAGTCGATCATTGTGATGGAGTCCTCACCGAAGAACTTGGTCTTCTTGTTAACCAGGTCCTGAGAAATAAACAGATGTTTATCAGCCTTGTACGAAACACTGTAAACTAGTTGTGCCCACGCTTAGTCCTGGGAACAGGTTTAACTTCACAATCTACCAAATCACATCAGGTGACCGTGGAAAGAATCCAGAGCGCTCTACTTCGCAACCTACCTCATTTAATTTGGAAAACTTCTCTTTCAGTTCAGCTTCCGGTCCCGAGACATCCTCGCCCTTATTTTTCCCCATTACAATCTTGTAAAAGTATGGTACAACCTGTAGTAAACAGTGGCATTAATAGGATTATTTGATAGTAACAGTAGAAAGTATACAAAACAAAACACCAGATATAAAGTCTTCATAGAGTGCACCTTGGAAAAATTCTCCAGCATCATCTTCTGTTTAGCTTTACCCAGAGCACAGGAAGGAAGCAGCTTATTCTTCGGGTAAACTTCATCCAGGAATTCACAGGTGATGGCAGACTCGCATATCACATCACCAGCAGAGGTCTCCAGGGTTGGAGCAAGTCCAAGAGGATTCTTCGCAAGGAACCACTCCGGCTTGTCCTTCAGGTTGATATTGATAGTTTCATGTCTGAAAGTTGTATAATCAAAAAGCACAGGTATTTCAGGTTCTGAAAAGTAGTGAAGCTATGGTTTTACATACGAGTATAATTATAAAAACGTGTCTTTACTCGATCCCTTTGGCGTTCAGCACTAATCTGGTCCTCTCGGCGTAGGGGCAGAATCTCATGCTGTAGAGTCTGATGAGCTTGCTGGGGACAGGACCGGGTGCGGCACTCCCTGAAAGAAAAACATGGCAATTTCCAGACATGACTCAGCACGAATGTAGAGTGCGATGATTTATGTTTGCTACCAACTTATCTTACAGCTACAGTTATTAGTTTATTTGTCGATTTATAATCTACATGCCAAACCTGTAAAAACGTAAAGATTTTTTACAGATTAAACTATCAGTATATAAATATATAACAGTATATTTAGCCCCACCTCGACCAACTAACTACAGGATTAAAATACTTTATCCATGTTAATAAATTCATAAAGAAAAACACAGTAATGCAATATACGATAACAATGTTAAAGAGAACATTGTGCGGTCTGAAAACATAAACTTTTATTAGAAACATTACAATGGATGATATATACGACCTGTACTGTTATAACAAATAATGCCAAGTTATCGTCGGACTGAGGAGGTTACATAAGAGTCATCAACACCTTTAGTCTTACCTTTAGCGAGACACTTCTCTGTAGACATGATCACGCTTCAGGTGCTGGAAGTATCGTAGTCTGGGCACGCGAGGAGCAGCAGGTGACTGACTGCGTACAGCGATATCAGGCGTCTATTGCTGAAATATACGTTTAGCCTACTTCCGGTAAGGGCGTGTTTTATTTATTGTTTTGTGGGAAAGATTGTCTATTGAGAAAGTCTATTGGCTGCTCCACACTCTTGAGCAGCAGGTGGCGCTAATGCACCAATAAGCTGGATGCCAACCGCCGTAAAAACAGAAGAAGAAGAAGTTTACTGGTTGCCAGGGATACGTTACGACTTGCACGTTTATTTGTCGGTTGTGTTGATGGAAAAAAAAGGGTTTAATTGCACTGCGTGTAGTTTTATTGTTGACATAAAATGGATGACATTGGAAGTTTAGAAGTCAGGTATGTTGCTGCTACAAATACACATATCCAGAATATGTTAATGTTCCGTTTTTATCACAGTTTTATCTCAACCCCATGTTGTATCCTGTGTTTTACTCCCTCTAGGTGGATACGAGGCTTTACCAACAAGAGTATCGAGTTTGTCGATAATGAAACAGTTTGTTACACATGTGGGATTAATATCTGTTTCCTCAACCTGGAGACAAAAAAGCTAAATGTGCTCCAGAGTCCTGGAAGAGGAGTTGGTGCTTTGACAGCCAATGGCAGCAATGGGACCTTTGCTTTCTCAGAGGAAAAGCTCTCCCCGTCTATATTTGTGTACATTTTCCCTGAGTTACAGTTGAAGAATGAACTAAAAGGTGAGATATTTCCTCCCAGCAGAGATCATTATCTATGCAAATGCAATCATATTTCAACTGGAAGGTGATGTTTTTATTTATGATTTAACGGTCATTTTCTTCCAAGATGTCTTGAGTTCTTAATGTTTGTTTGTATGTATGCATCCAGCCTACATTTAGGCTATTTTCTTTCTTCTAGGTGCAGCACAACTGGACTACACATCTCTTACACTAAGTACTGGTGGTCCTTATTTGGGCTGTTGTTCATCTCTGCCAGATCACACCATAACAGTGTGGTAAGCCATTGAAAGATGCAGCACACCACTTCACATATCATGTATTCCAGATTTTCAATTATGTTTATTTAGGTCGGAGCAACTCTTTTACTGTAATTATAACCTGTGTGATGCAGGAACTGGGAAAACGCGGAGCCCATCTGTACACAACCACATGCTGGGCAGGATGTCACTTCTTTGGTGTTCAACCCCCTGAATTGGCTCCAGCTCTGTGCTTTGGGCAGTACGTCCCTCACTGTCTGGAGTATTCAGAAGAGTGCCAGCTTTCATGTCCTGAAACCAAGGTGAAGCAGACCTGGGTGTGATGTAACTGATAAATTAACAAACATTACCTGCGTTTATTTGCTTTATGTTCAGTAAGCTGCAAGTGCAACGTGTACGTCATATTTGTTGCATTGCAGTGTGATAGAGCTTCCAACAACTGATGGCTTCTTTGTTGAGAGATTGGTGCCCACCTCTCATACTGTCAGCGACAAACTGCCCTATTTCAGTCTTGAGATGCCTCCATCAGCTATCTCAGGGCTCAAGGCAGAACGCATTGTGGTATTGTCATTAATACACAAATACACAAATCCAATACACGGTCATCACTTTTTTTAATATGTTTGCACAAAAACAAAGACTGTTACACAAACTCCACATGTCTTTACACAGACTAAACTCTGCACCAAAGCCAGACTAACTCCTTGTGCCATCTGCTGGACACCCACATCCAAGCTTTTTGTGGGCTGTGTGGAAGGCTTTCTGCTCCTTGTTGACCCAGAGAGCCTCTCTGTCTCAGTCATCTTCAACCCCACAAGTAAACAAACACACACACACACACACACTGGGTCTTGGCAGATATTTGAATAGTCATTGTATTGCCTTATTTAATTTTGCAACAGAAAAGACAATTTACATTTGATTTTTGTTCAGCTTCTGATGCCATCCGTGAACTCAGACAGAGCAACTTTCGAGGTTTAACCCTTGACCGGAATGGTTTGATTGCTGTAGGAAAGGTACTGGCCCATGCACCACATCTGCTCGGCTCACTGAGTACGACACGTTCAAAACTCTTCTGCCAATCTGTGATGTGATTTGCCATTTCAGTCGTCGCGAATTCTCAATTTCTCAAATTTAAAAGCACCTTAAAATGCATGTTTCACAGGAGGGTGTGGTGCACTGTCTGCAAATCAAAGTGACTCAGATCGACATCACACAAACGTGGACATTAGAAGAACCTGTCACAACTGTGATGTACTCCCCTGACTATGAAACATTACTCTTTTCGTCTAATACAGTAAGTACTGAAATTGTACCTCAGTGTGGCGTATTGTACATAAAGTCACATGACATTTAATTAGGTAATATAACACGTAACTGAGAGAAAATAATAATTACATTCAGTGGTACAGATAATTACTCAAGTTAAAAAGGAGTTGGTGTCTGTTTGGACTCAGTTCAATACACTCATTTAACAAACCTGTACTGTTACGTTTGTGACAAAGGCAAAATAATGCAAAGTCATCGCCGGACTGAGGAGGTTACATAAGGCCATGTCATCAAAACTTAAAATTAAACTCTGGCGTCTTTTAACAGTAACAGTAACAGTCTCCCTCCAGAAGTCAGACAGGAGGAAAGCAATGTGCAGTCAAAGAATTTCTTGCATACGGTCATTCTATTGCCTTGACTTCTATTTTGTAGTATTCTTAGTTAGAAAGACTTGTCACAACTGTGATGTACTCCCCCGACTATGAAACATTACTTTTTTCATCTAATACAGTAAGTACTTAAATGGTCCTCAGTGTGGCTTGTTGTACATAAAGTCACATGACATGTAATTAAATAATAACATGTAACTGAGAGAAAAGAAAATAGATGATTGGACCATAACAGGCTTCTTGTTCTTAAGGGTCAAGTCTATGTCTTAAACTCATCCCGGTCTGACGAGATTGTGAAACTCCCGGATGTTCTCAGCGGCAACTTTGTGGCAGCAGCTTTGTCACACACTGACAAAAACATCTGTGTGGTAAATCACTTGTCTTACTCAAGAATTACAGTGTCTCATGATGGCATGTGTAATTTGGGTCAATGTCTCTTAAGTCAGTGGGGATGTTTGTGTTTTTGTGCTGATTGCAGTCGGTGACGGATTCTGGAGCCCTGCAGCTGTGGTCTGCAGATGGCGTTTGTCTTGGCTCCTTGTCTCTTCAGGCTGAGGTCAGAGTCACAACATATGAACATTCAGAACATATCAACAGTTCCACATTAATACACCTGTTCTGGAAATTTAAGAGGGAAATTAAACAGATTAGAAGTAAAGTTTAAGTTTGTTAATCTGTGTCTGCCTATAGGTGACAAGTCTGGCCTGCTGTCCTATTGCACAATACGCAGCTGTTGGAACGGCGTCAGGAAATGTCCTCTTTGTTGACCTGAACGGGCAGCAGCAACCTCGCCTGGTGCACCGGGTTCATCTCTACCACACTCCTGTAGATCAACTAGTGTAAGTATCTTCTATCCCTGTGATGCCACAGAGTTTCAGTTTAACACTAACAAAGTATTATACGCATCATACCTTTACGAAGTAGAGGCGTGAGTTATCATAAAACCCTGAGAGGACAACTGCTCCTCCACTTCTAGTCAGCAAAGCAAATTAAATTGTCATATCAAAATGGTTGCAACGTTTCTTATTGTGTTTATATACTGTATATCAGTGTGTGTGTGTGTGTGTGTGTGTGTGTGCTTTTACAGTTTTGATCAAGAGGGGCACTACCTTCTCACAGGTGCCTCAGATTCATATATCTATGTACTAGACGCAAGGCCATCAAAGACGTTTTCAGTCATAGGATACACAGGTAGATACTCCTTATTTTGTTGATTGGACATGTTACTTTTATCATTTTATCTTACAATGTATATATAGCTGTATAGAAAATAATTGCCCTATTAGTGTAACACTTCATCGAAGCGAGATCAAGCTCAACTGCATCCTTTTGTCATTGGATTTTCCAGTTGTTCCCGGACCCGTTTTGTCGCTTTCCACTCAGTGCATCAGAGACAGTGAGCAGGTGAAAGTTGTTGTGTGCACAGGGCTGGAGCTCACGGTGCTCTCTTTGCATACCAGGAAACGTTCAGGTACAGCACTGATATAGTGGATTCATTCCCTAGTCATTCTCTATATTGTGCTTTAATTAGGGGAATTTGGGATAATTGGTCAGAAGTTGTTTTTTAAGTCCACACTGGTTGACCCTCATACGATAATGTGGTACAGAGGAGAGTGAACAGTCTGGTGGGGACAGTAGCAAAGATGAAAGATACGATGGAACATTGAACATAATTTACTTTGCAACCGGCGATTAATGAATCATCTCCTGTCAGTAAGGAGCACTTCAGCAGTAAATAATGGCGATGCAGTTTACGATACTTTCTCTTGCCTTTTGTTCTTATTGTCTGGGAGTCTCATAATTCATCCATGGGAATGCTCTGACAGTGGACTACAGTTTGTTTCCAAAGAGACAACCACAGCCAGAGACATTAGCAGAGCCATTAATAGTACTCAACTGGACATTTGCATCCAATTGTTTAGACATGTTGTCACCAACACACTGTTTAAAAGAGAGGAAAAACGACTGAGCGGTTTACAAAACCACACCCATAGTTCATGCAGCCTGTTTAGCAAGAAAGACCACGAGACAGACGGGTTTCGAGAGGAAAGTGCAAACATTAGATCTAATCTAGTGTGGCTGCAGAAGAGCATTGGGAGTTATAGAACTAAAAATATGTCCGTAGTGTATTTTAAGGCGCTGTCTACATGATAGGTAAAATCACTAATGACAATGACTTTGGTAATAAGCTTTGACTGTTTCCAATTCATTATTTTTAACACATTGATGATGTGCCTTTGCTGACCTGCAGGTCCAGACTGTGTAGACCGACATGGTTGTCTGTCTACTCTCGTCCTCAAAGTGTCCAGATATGAAGTGCCTCATCCTCTTGAATCCTGTGTTCTGGGACTCAGTGAGGTCTTTGCTTACTGCCAAAAGAGGAACAGTCTTCAGCGATTTGAGCTTCCCCAGGTTCACTGCTGCCTAATGTGACAGACTATTATGATGTCTTCATCCACCTGAAATATCATTGATACAATCATAGTAAACTACTATTTTATTTTACCAGCCATCAACACACTATCCTGATCCCTGATTATTCTGCCCAGGATACAGACAGCCTCTCCAGTGAACAGGTGGTCCAGCTCAAACCAGAGCAGGAAGTGAGGGGTCACCCTCTGAGCCCTGCCTCTCTCAGTCTGTCTGCTCATCAGTTATGGCTGGCTTCCGTGGGCCGAGATGGCCTCCTACTTATCCGAGAAACGGCTTCCATGGTAGGAGCTCCTTTTATTTAGTCTTAATTACTCCTTGTCAACTTTTGAATCTTGTTTCCATTATCTGTGGTGTGTATTACAATGCTGTCCTATGACCCATAGGAGCGGCACATTGAACTGCAATGTCATTCATGCCGTCTGGGTGGAGTTCGGAGCGTGACCTTTTCTGCAGACAGCCAGACACTTCTCACTGCTGGCTTTAAAGATGGCTCTCTTGTGTGCACTGATCTCAGGTAAACCAGCAAGCAGTCTGTCATGCTTACATAACGCACAGGTGTGAACAGCAGAGGGAACTGTTGCTCGCAGTCGTGATGCCGCTCTTATGCTGTTTGATAGAGTGCATTTCAAACTGTATTTTTCCTCTCTCGGCGTTGGCCTCGAGGAAAGTAAAATAAATACAACTGAAGTGGTGGGTCAAGGGGGATCTTGATCGTAATCTGCAGGAAAACAAACCAATAAATTTCACAGCCAACTCTCACCACTGAATAAGATCACATTCCACGTCCGTCTCCTCCGCTCGCCCCTGCACGCTTTTGTTTTGAAGTTTAAAGATATTTTCCTTTTCCATAGCAGTTTCTACTGTTTTAATCTTCCAGAAATAAGATTATTTTTTTTTTACAAATCCCATGAAAAGACCAAAACCAACAATTAATTGAAAAGTGCAAGTAGTGTCTCTGTAGCCAAAGCCTTACAGTAGCTTGTTCCTCTGTGCCATGAAGATCAGTGTTGTCCAAAAACTATTGAAAACACACCACCGAGTCGCAGCTTTACACATCTCTGACCTGCTCCTTCGTTACGATCAACACAGGCACCGTGATTTATTTATTTTTATGTTGATACACGCTCCTGCTGACATGAATACTCACCAGCGCACCAAATAGCACAGCTGGAAATAGTCCTCAATTAAAGCACAACTTACTCGTGTTTGAGTAACATTCATACAAAAAAGACAGTGCCCACCAGTTTTAGGAAATAGCTTTAAAAACAATTAAACTATATGTTTTTTTAGAGTTTTTTAAAATGTACATCTTCAGTAGAAACAAACGGGCTTGGTGCACAGTGCCACAGGCGAGGTTGGGAAGTCTGAAATTATAGAGAGACAAACTAATTTAACTGTGACACATTTCATGGGATTTATAGATAATAAGAATGTATAATATTGTCAGCCTTAGCCGTTAAGGTTATTCTACTCTTACACTTGATTATTCATTACATTACAAACACAAAATGGCTACTTAATGTGAAAATAATTATTAAGGCCTTGAACTCTACAATTCACTTTATTTCCATTTATAGACAGCATGATTTGTTTTTGAAAGATCATATGATTTTATTTCTAATTATATTTGGATTTATGGATCAACTGGCCATCATTATCTTCTTATATCTGCTCTCTTATTGTGTACACCTTGTGTTTCCATGGCTCTATACAGAATTAAAGGCACGGATGCTGGTAAGGTGAATGAAGCGCAGAAGTACAGTCGGTCTATGAATCATTTCTTGAAGACCATATTCAATACTGAGAATCCCGTCCTCATTGATTTGCCTGAGTGGGGCCAAGGGACAGTAGAACCAGAGGAAAGTGAGGTAAATTACATCCTATTCTGTTTTAGCAGTAAATTAGTATAGGCTACTACATAACAGTGTACTGACTATAATGATGTTTGTTGCCTTTGAAACTCCAAACAGTTCACTGCAATTGCAGAACATACACTCACATGCTAAAACTAATGCTGTCTCATACAACAGCCCCGCAATAACTCCTACCTTCAGGAAAGGTACGTTGTTCAGTTATACTGAATGTTTCATGTGTTTGGGGAAAAAAAAATATACAAACACCTCTCAGTACAACACAACACAAACTACAACCTCCATAACGGTTATGAAACTGAATCAATGCCTTTAAAGTACATTGTATGACAGATTTTACTAGGAAGCAGATTATGTTGGTGCTGGTGATAAAAGTGTGAGGCATCCCAGTAAATGTAAAGATTACAATGATAAATGTGAATTGTTTGTTTCTGAGCTGTTTCAGCGATAAACAGCTCAGCACTTTGTGGTCTTAATGAAAACATCGTGGTATAAATCGGGTATGAATATTACACAACACCATAGATTTTAAATGTAATTTATTATACATGCAAAGCCCTCGTTCATTAATAGATTAAATGTTAAGCAATGTGTCAAAGCATATGTTTTTATTCATCTGTATCTCTGCGTTATTTTTACATGTGCTACCACTCTGTAGGCCGGCGGTGGAGCAGACACTGTGGATGTGACGGAGCAGGATGAGAGTTATAACAGCCTGCTGTCTGCACCACCTTCACACCCCACCTGGCTGGAAAGCAGGCGAGAGGCGGTCAGTGACTTAACATGCCTTCATATTTGTGGTTGTGGCATAAGATGCGGATAACTATGTTACGGTACTTCACCCGTTGCAGGTGGAGAATTTCGAAAGAGTCCTTTGCACCTCTGTGAGGTATCTAGCTGTGTTGCTTTTGGCACAGTTTCTCTGTGTAACAGCTTGATTTATCGCCACGTATTATAGAGTTAGGAGTAAACCAATTAACAAGTGATATGGAGCTGGAAAGCAGATAAGCATTTGTAAACAAATGTTCAGTACTTTGTCACCTGACAAAGCTTCTTGATAACAATAAATTGATACCGAAGATGTGGCAGGCTTTGAATCGTGGGTTTTACACCTCATCGACATTGACACATGGGAAAACGGGTAGAGGCGATTTAAAGCCTGCTTTTATGCTACGACATGCTTCCTAATCTGACTCGCGTGTTCTGGGGAATATAAGTAATATTCTTTCCCCATGTTATAAAATGAATTATCATGAACATGCTGTTTGTTTGCAAGTCAGGTTTACTTACTGTAGGAAGATGGGAATGTATTGTGAGTTGACATAAGTGTACACACTTTAATAATCCCATTTGTTTTCCATCTAATATTTTGAGCAGGTTATAAAAGAAGACAATGAGCAATATTCTGAGACAAAGAAAAACCTGAGGAAACCCATCAAAGAGTTACGTGACGATGTAAGTGAGTTTTATTACATATTTATTCCTTTAAATCTTCCCTTAAGAGGAAACTGAGGTTCTTGAGCAGGGAACATGTCATGAGAAACATTAAACAACATCTCACAGTCCATGTAAGTCTAAATACTATATCATTAGACATGTCCGATAAGTGCTTTTCAATTCAATGAGAACCATCCCTGTAATTACGCGCCGCAGCTCTCTACCAGGGTGACACATACACACACACAGTAAATCAAAGAGGAAAAACATCACAAAGCTAAAGCAATCATAAGCTAAAGGATAAAAACTGTATGTGGAATTCTGTTAATAAATGCATGAATGAATAAATATTGAACTAAATTGAATAATACATGAATAAATACTCTACTATCAAACCATGCCATGTGATCCAATGGTATTTCAAAGCATCATCTGGTCTGTCTCAAGAACATTTGACCTATTTTGAACGTTCTACCATTTTAATTTCCACTTTAATTGTTTTCTAGGATATACAAATACTGTATGCTTTAAGTCCATCATAAATAAAAATTAAAAAAAGAAGTTATATTCGTAGTAATGTATTAATCCAGTATTTAGGGTTCGGGTTATATTAAAGATAGTTGCACAATTACGAAACAGTTCACAGACGGTTGTTTAAATTTTCACAAAAAGTTTGTCGAACAAACAAAATGATGAATAAATCGTTTATTCCGTGTTGCAGATCCAGGAGATGATGCGCGAAAATGAGAACCTCCCAGATATTGAACGTCTGGAACAACAAGAGTTCAACCTGGATGTTGAGGAGCAGAGGAGGCTGGAGGCCACTGTGGAGCAGGAAGTTACTCGGGTAATGCACACACACACAAACATGAACTCAATGACAGTAGTGATCAATGATGACGGAAGAGATTGTTAACGCAGTCACATTGTAGGTGAGAAATGAAATCGAGTTGGAGATTTCAGCAAAACGTTACATCAGTGATGTCCTAAGAAGAGAATGCTGGGATTCCAAGACGGTCAAAGGCAAAGCCACTAAGGTAAGATGGCCGAGGAACAAGCTCAGAGAAGTGTTGCATTTTCTTAATTATCACAGAATTGTATGATCTGTACTAAGAAATTTAAATCACTTCTGGCTGTCTGCCACAGGCCTTTTACTCAAAACAACAGGTGAGGAACTATCCTCTGAAAGAGCGAACCGACAAAGAGGTGGAGGACCTTCACAGGGTCCAGAACATGAGGAAGATTGAAATGGCTGCTTGCACTGTAAGCTTCACTGGCCCACAGGCCTGAGCGCTCTGTGGTTTAGACTCTTGTTAGCGCAACGTCGTGTTGAGAAGCACGTGTGATGAGTTGGAATAGATTAGATGATATGTTTACTGTTTATAATGTGAAACAGAAAGGCAACGCAATCGTTTTCTAAAAGCTTTGATGATGCAACCTCCTCAGTATGCAGGTTTTCACGCTATGGAAATACATTTTATGGCAAAAAACATTCAAGTCAAAACAGGTTTACATCTGGAAAATAATTTGATGCTTTGAATCACAAAGTCTGACCTTTCACTGCTGTAACTTTTTCAAATGCTTGAATACGTGCCAGTCCGCCAGTGTTGAAATGTCTCTAGATTTATGGCTGTATGGCGAAGAGATATTTGTGAGGATAGCTTCCTTCACTGCAATATTCTTGAGATAAAGTTTATAATCTTGTGGCCACAGATTCTATCCTCAACATTTATTTCAGCCCTCTCATTCAAGGCATTTGTCCCCACCTTTCAGCTGCAGCAGAGCGGGCTAAAGAAAAGTTCCAACACAACCCGTGTGAAGGAGGCAGAGCAGGGGGAGGAAGGCCACGACGCAGAGAGTGCTGCTGTAACGGGAAGTTGCTCCGCTCAGTTAGGATGTTCAAATCCTTATGTTTACGATCAGTTCTGCCTGCAAACCACAGAGCAGAGGATCAACCAGATAATTCTGCTGCAGGTGGGAACTTAGCAAAAGTGTGATAAGAAAGCCTTTTATAATGCAAAATACTTCTCCCAAAGAGTATTAAAAACACACACAGCATAATAGAAATATAAAATGAAATAAAGAGCACTTAAATATGATTAAAAAAAATTTTCTTTGCTGAATTTCACTCAACTCCGAATGCAGGATGTGATTTATCGCGTCAAGACGGCTTTCAACGCTGACTTTGAGCAAAAAGTGCAGGAGCTGAACCGTGTGAAGGACAGGGACCGACAGATCAGGGAGATCATGCTGGAGCTGGACGTGAGCGAGGAGCTGTGGGAGCCCGGCCTGACCACCACTGTGGACGACTCGGAGGTTACTCACCTCCTCGGGATCTAAACAGTTCACAAAGTTCACATTCAGTTCAACAAACAAATACATGTTGAGCCACTTAGTGGTTTGTTTGTTTTTCTTACTGAAACGTAAAATAGTATTGCGTGGTCTTCATCGCATGAGATGCTTTTTCCCGATGCACTTTTGTCTCACTTACAGATAAAAGCAGAAAAGTACCTCACGCAAGAACAGAAAGAGGAGGAGGAGAGGAAGAACTTGGAAGAGCAAAAAAGTTTGGCTGCCAAAGTATGTGGGAACAATAAATGTGTTTTTGTTTTGCAAATCTTGTCTGTTGCTATTTACAAATTCTTTAAATACTTCCATGTATGGAAAGCGCTTCTATGATTATGATCGGCAACAGTAAGAGTAAATTTAACAGAGCTTCACTTTATTTTAAAAATTAATTAAATATATGAATATTATATGTTTATGTGATGTACAGTATTACACAGAAAGTCACAAATAGAAGTAGTTCAGTTCCTTCACATTGACTGATCTTTCTATTGCAGCGGGATAATGTCAGAGACAGGGCTCTCGATGACATGATGGATGGAGTGCGTGACCTGAAAAAAAAGGACATCTTGAAAATGGTGGGACAAAATATTCAAATTATGTAACAGATTGAACCCAATTTTTTTTTCATATAAAATAAGAAACAAGTTGTAGATATTTTCTCCTTTGAGCATCTAGTCAGTTGCCAGATAATAGGTAACTATTTTGATAATCAGTTAATTGTTTTAGTCATTTTAAAGCAAGAATGACAAACATTCTCTGGTTTCAGCTTCTTTACTGGGACGATTTGGTGACTTTCTTTGTCATATTTGACATAAGCTAAATATCTTTGGGCTTTTTTGGACTATTGGTGCAATAAAACAAGACCTCTTCTTGGGGCGTTGGCAACTATGATGGGCATTTTATTTTGCATGTTTCTAACATTTGATAGAATACACAATTAATCTATGAAGCTATTTGTTAGTAGCAACCCTAATTTAAAGTTAGTTTCTTGGATTTTTATTTCATTATTAAATGATGATTTGTTACATACTATATAAATCACAGAGTAAGAGTTAACACAAAACATGTTTTGGCTTTCTGGGAGAGAAAGAGTAAAAGAAAACTCTTCCCTCCCTCCTGCAGTTATTTCTTATGACGTACACAAAACACTACATCTCACTGCACCCAAAATTAAATACTTAATACTCACACAAGAAATCTCGCCCTTTAGGCATTTTTTTTACATGAATATTTTTCTAGGCAGTGTCAGTTGGATTAGACAAATCAGCCTGAAGTGCACATAGTTTCTTTTGAATTAAATCCACAGGAAATACCTCCGCCTGAGTTTGTTTTGATCAAACCTGACATTCAGTGGAGCGAGGAGGAGAAGAAAGTCTCCAAAGAGTACAAAAAGAAAACCAAAGACCTCAGTGAGGAGAAGGAGAAATACAAAAAGGTATTATATAAATGTGACAAAAAGTGATACCATAAACCTCTGATCAGTGATCGATACAAATCACCTGTGAACTCTGTAATTACAGTCAATGGAGACTGAAATGAAAAAACTACAGGAGTCCAAACGGGATGCAACCGAAAGGTTTGATGAAACTTTGACAAAACTGTTTGAGAAGAAAGAGAAATGTGAAATGGCTATTTATAAGGTGAGCCTTCTCACACACACACACACACACACACACACATTCCTTTGTTTCCTTATTCTCATTTTCCTCACACAGTCTGAAGGGCCCTTTGTTCTCATTGTGGTTCTCTCCTTAAGATAACCATGATATATGATATCTCGTGGATGTGGCACCTTAAAAAAAAATCCTGCTTAATGTTGTTTTTGATGTATTTTACAGGAAGAGCTCACGATTACTTATCTTGTGTATTCAGTCCTCGTAGAAGACGAGATGAGAAATCGAGAGCTGGAGCTCAAGCTCAAACTTGAAAAAACGTTGGCATACAAGGTCAGAGCACTCGTAGACACTAATGCTGAAGGAATTTACGACTACCAGATTCAGTTTCTGTTATTTGTGATATACCTGAGTGAACGGCAGCGATGTTCTTCTAAATTCTAGTATATCTTTCCATCAGACAGGTATGTTCTGCAAGAGCTAACCTGCTCATTTCAAGGCTGCCAGACACCATTTATCTTAATTGCTGCTCTCGTCTTATTGACCTGTGTTTTTCTGACAGGCGGAAATTAGGGAGGAGGTCAAGAGACGTGAAGAAGAACTAGAGTTGTTTCACGAGTCCTATGACAGCGCTGTAGCCGAGGACAAAGTAAGCCAGCTGGTAAAATACTGAAATAACTTGGGCTGTAAGTGATGGCACACACACATAATGTCCATCCATTTCTCCCAAGGTTCTTGACAAAGAATTCAGAAAGGAGTTCTCTGATGTGCGAAGCCATGCGATTGATCTCCTTTATAAGTTATTCAAGTGTAGACCCAGGTTTGTAATACTTGCTGACCTTGATATCCACAATGTACTTTGTAAATTAGCTGCTCAGTTGCTGCACACTGTCTTTTATGCCTCAGGGTTGAAAAGATGAGCACCCAGGCCGACAACAGCTCCAGCCTGTTCAAAGAGCAGCGTCTGTGCGGTTCTCTGGCTCCCGGTGCACTCGGCAAAATGCTGAAGGCCATGGATGAGCTGGACGCTCTGGAGAATGCACCAGAAGGCATGAAAATACAAATCTGGGAGAGGTTTTGTCTTGTCCGCAGAACAAAAGTAGAGATTGAGCAAAAGGTAACGTGAGGACATAGACGGGATTGGAAATACAGACGAGCATTGCTAGTCCACTAAAATACTTACCGAGGTTTTTCACACTACAAACATTCAATTACCATAACATTCCATTGTCTGTTCACCAACTGAAATCGTTTTAATTGCACTAATGTATTGATCTTATCACTATCGTGTGGGGAATTGTCCACTCAGTGTTTGACACGTCCTTTTCAGGTAAAAGTTAAAGCTTTGACTCTTGCTGAGATGCAGGCGTTCCTTCAGAAGAGGAGAGACGAGGACAGCGCCGCTCAACAGGAAATTAAAAATCTCTCTGACGGACTTGAAAGGTATGACTTTCAAGTCTTAATTTAATCAAGTCTTAAATTCTCTGTAACCTGTATATATACATATATATACATATATGTATATATTCAAAAGTAAATATGATTTGTTCTATGTCTCTATGGAAGAGTGATCCTCTCGTGTTTTTTGTCATCCTGCTCCCTTCTAGTCTGCACAGGGAGAAAAACCGTTTCCTGACGGACATCATGGTCCAGGTCCCGCTCAAACAGGGCCAGGTGAAGGTGTCCACCACAGACCTGACAGCTGACTACACCGACTCTGTACTGTTCAACAGCAGTGTGTTGGAGAAACTCAACACAACCAGCAGGGTCAGCCTACACCACCAGACACACAGACACTCTTGCAAAACAAGGATATGATAGATCTACTGTGTATATATACACAAATACACAAGGGGTCATGATTTAATGTGTTTTGTACTTAATTACAATACTTAAATAGAATAATTTAAAGTGCTGGTCAGATACATTGGTGGTAAATGTCTGTGTTCCGTCAAATGATTATCATCTCTGTGATCAGACACTGGGAGAGCAGACGATAGCCTCCATGGTGAAGTGCAATGACTGCCGTAAGGGCATCATCCAGCTGCAGTGGGAGCACAGGATGGTGGGGATGCAGATAGAGGACACCAAGGCGAGGGGCATCCATATGTTCCGACTCTCTGAGAAGCAACAGGATGTGAGTGATATCGGGGTACTGAAATATTGTGATGCAGCATTCTTTATTTTTTTAAGCTTTTCTCAAGGGATCAGGATATCTTTTACTCTCAACTACTGTGTTGGCCTCAACAAGGAAATACGCACAAAGTAACACTTTAGGAGGAATAAAACTACTCGATGCTACTGGACATAATTCATAGGAATTATATGTCAAATGTTTTCAAAAAGTTCAGCATCTGCTCCAAATGGAAATGACGTGTCGGCATTTATGTTGACACTTTAACCCCCGTCAGCATTTCTGGCCAAACCTCAGTCGTTGATATCAAGGCAGGTATTTTGGTTTTGGCAGCTCGAGATGTTATGCGAGCAGAAAATTGTTACCATCCCCGAGTACAGATGGATGGCGCTTTGTTGACACAGACACACCGTATTCACGCAAGCTCCCCACCCCGTTTCTTTTTCTTTCCTCGCTTTTAAAACGGTTACCCAAAAGGTGGAGACTGGTTTAATATACTACACGAACAGGCAGGTTAAGCAAAGACGGACAACAAAAGTTGACAGATACTTTGTTCGCCGTTGAAATCCATTAACCCCATCATACACATTATAAAACAGTTTTTTCACAAGTTTATGATGTAGAAAAATAGGGAGGTGGTGGTTGAGCAATAAAAAAAAATACATAAAGAACAAATGAGTCATCCATCATCTTATTGTCAACGAGTCGATGAGTGTAGCACACACCAAACATGTCTTCAGGCCTGAATGTTTCCTCTGCCAAAGGTTTCAGGTAGCTCTTCTGTGGCGTAGCGTGCAGCTTCCTCTCATCGTTTAGGACCCTGAAACCTCGAGAGGGAAATATTCTGAATACAATCAAATCCATCCTGAATGATCCATAACATTCTACGATAAACCAGTTTTTGCCAGCGCTGTCGTCAAAAGATGTAGAGTAGACACTGAATTAAAAAAAAAAAAGAAATCACTCTTTTTGCTTTTTCAGTCGCTTTATTCAAGTCGGTTATTCCCTTTTTTCTTTCTTTCCAGGATCTCAAAGAGACAGATCGAGACATACATGTGTTCAAGCAAGTTTGCATTCTGGAGAAAACTATAGCTTTTCAGGAAAAGGTAACAAAAAAAAAAAGTAACAATTTGACCTCAATCATGTCGGCGTTGTGTACTTTCCATTAACTGACAGTTAAATGAATATACATATTATGTTCTCCTTTTAGGCTGATTTAAGAAGTGTGGGGCAGCGCGTCAAAAGCATCGAACAGCTGGACAAGCAGGCAGCAGAGAAAGCTGAGAAGAACGCCACTGTGGAACAGCAGCTGCCTGATAGGACTGTGACTGTGGCAGAGAGGACACACATCTATGACGCATCAGGTAAGGAAACAAAGTTCAGCTGCAAAGGGAGATTTTAGAGCCTCTTCTGACTCACAATGTGACCCGTTTGGTGTTTAGCTTCACAGGAAAACCAGGCAGCTAAAACAGAGGAGCGCTACCAGGAAATCCTTTACAGGAAGAACTTGGAGGACCTTGCCAGAGCGCAGGGGGATGAAATGGCTTTCCTCTGGGCCGAAGTCGAGCGTCTGAGGATGAAGAACTTTCCTTCAATGGATCAGCTGAAATACAACTGAGCAAGGCCTTCTCTTCAACAGATAACACAATCAATTAAACGTAGCATTACATTTTAGCTGTGAATCAGAGTGTAATAGCAGCAACAAATAAAACAGTTAACCCTCATGTGATGGTTTTAAAGCGTGGTTTTTTTTTTAGGTAGTGAAGTCCTCTTCTGTGCGGTCAAAGTGCAGAATGCCGTCCTCCAGACCAAAGAGGTCGATGACCTCCGACAGGCTGGCCTTCTGTCCTTCTACGATGACATCTGACTGGAGCTCATACAGTGCAGCCTGAGCACAACTCCTCCACTTGTCAATCAAGGTCTGGAGCTGTGTTAAATCATTCTAGGGAGGGAGAGAGAGAGCGAGAGAGCGAGAGAGAGAGAGCGAGAGAGCGAGAGAGCGAGAGAGAGAGAGAGAGAGAATAAGTCATATGAAATGACTTTCAGTCAAGTTAAGCAAAATAAATCCAAACGTTCATGTTAGGAGCAAACCCAGACAGGTTAAAAGGTCGCTGGTACCTTGTTCCTGTACATTTTAACCATCTTGAGCCTGCGCAGAGTCTCCATCTTGTCTTTGACCGCCTTCCTCAGCTGGTCTCGTTGTTGCGTAAAGTCTTTAGAGGGTGGCTGTGTTGACTTGGGAATGGGTCCAGAAAACCGTTCACTCCCTGGTTTCTCCTCATTTGTGTTTTCATCGACATCGGGCGTGCTCAGCGGAGGGTTGTTAACCGTCTCTGCTGAAACTTGTTGGCCATCCTCCTCCTTGTCGTCGACGCAAAGGCGTTTGGCCACAGAGAAGAAGGGCGAGGTGAAGGAGCGCCTCGATCTCTTCAGCCTCTCCTTCAGTGAGGAGCTCAGCTGCTGGTGATGCTGCGGAGATGTCAGTGCGTGGATGACACACGGTGTGATGATAGCAGATGTGCTAGATTGTGTTTCATCAATTTCAATTCAGTATAACGTTTATGTTGACGTCGTTAGTAACACGCAAGCACAATTGCACTTCAACCCACCTTCTCCTCTTTGTATTCACCGGGGCTTGACTCCGCTGAGTGAAGAGGTGAATAACACACCGGTTTGAATTTGGCTGCTTTAGGAGTGACCTCCATCGGGGAAACGTGGACTCGCGGATCTTCTGTAAATAACCTACAGTCACGTTAACTAGCTAGTCACGTAGCGTCTCATCGACAACCGTAAAGACGGAACTAACACTAAGACTGAACCACACGTGTTGATGGACGCGTTGTCAATAAGTAGAGAGCAACAGAGGGACTTTTCACAAAACGATAACTGAGATACTAAACGGCGAACGCGACGTGAGAACTTCCTGTTTTTCTTATTTTTGCGGCTCAAGTAAACCTCCAAAGTCAGCGATTGGTTAGAATTTGATTACGCGTTACCGAAAAGGATCCTGGGAACTGTAGTTGTTGGTGATTTGATACGTGGTCGCACAAATCCCAATTTTTAAACCCATATTCCGTTGTTGTTTTATACCTACAACCACAAGGCTTCGTCATCTCTCTTGACTTGTTTTGGAAATGTTATACATAGTTATACAAACAATTCTTTTACTTTCTTTTTCTTAAACAAAAATTCAAACTAGAATAAAACAAAATATATATATATTTATAATATTATTATTAATAATAATCTCAATAATAATACCGTACATGAAAATAGGAAATAGTAAAAAATAAAAAAGGATTTTTAGAGAGGAGTGTGGGATTAAGAGGAGACACGTTGATCCAACTGAACTGTTTCACACAGTTCAGTTAGTGCTCAAAGGAAGTAAAATAGTTAAACATATTTTTGTGGGCTTTTGGGAGGGGTTGACAGTGTGTGAGGGTTCAAAGCAATGTTACTTGCCTACTCCTTGTTACTAGGGTCGACTCATATTGTGATTCAGCTCTTCTCATCAGTTGATTCATCTCTATTAAAGGATTTATTTAACTCCTACAGGCGAATTTATTCATGGTTTGTTGAAGACGGGTCCAGATATCTTACATTTTTTTAAAGTTGTGTTTTTCTTTCGCCCGAAGGAGAAAGGTGTGAATTAAAACGTGATCTTGCCTAGACTTGAACATCAATGCTTGGCAGTTTAATATGACACACCTCAGGGAATGGGGATCTTTAACATTTTGTGTGGATGAATCTTGCAGGGCTGAGGTTTAAGATAATTACTGTGTGAGTCAGGGTGAGGGTTAACATCCGTGCTTCTTAACTTGTGAATAGCTTGCTCCTCACCACTGAAACTGTTGCAATGATCTGGGTTTATCTAGAGGCTATGTGAGACACTGGTGAGGATGCCAACTCTTTCACTGAATGCAGGTGTGTATGCTGAGCAGCCATAAAAAAAAGCCACATGTTATGTTTGTCTCTCAAGATGCACATATGAGTCAGCAGTATTGCCGTCTTAACACCTATGTAATATGTTTCTGTCCGGTAGTTGAGGAATATGTTGTGATGAAGACGCACTGATTGTCTTAAACTTAGTGTCAAACACATCAGCTTTTCCCCCTTTTCTCTGGTGTCCCAGTGGAGCAGATGTGACTGTCCCATGTGGTGTCACACGGGACAGTCTAGTTCAGCTGAAAGGGTGCTTTGTATTCCGGGTTAGTAGGTTATTCATTTTTTTTCAGTTGATACTCTATGTGATCTGCTATGTCTTTGTTTAAATTTCCCTTTTATGTGGTACTAATGCCTCGTCAGCAAACACTCCCTCATATGCAGGTTCACATAAGGGTAACATAATAAAGATCTTTAAAACAGAGTTTGACACAGAGCCTGTCTACAAGGCACGGCCACAAAGCGATCTAAAGATGCAGGATCTTGTCGTTGATATTGTCTTTCAGTGATAGAAAAATTCCTAACAAATGTGCAAATTATCAAAGAGCTAAAAGCAACTGTTGTGCAGTGAACATGAGGCTTTTTAGGCCCCGTCTACTCTGTTTTTGTAGACATTTCGACTTGTCATGGTAGGTAAAGCACAGGTGTTACTAACAACTTGGCTCTGTTATATTGAAACGTCCCAGTAAACGTAAAAGTGAAAAAAGGCCGATGACTATTATATATCAAAATGCTTTCAAAACGGCAGTTTGACTTAGATTTTTGAATACCGCCCTGAATGAGAGATTTGTTTTCTTGTAGTAATTATAAAATAATGTACTTTGACCACATAAATCAAGACTTCAGAAAACGTCTTTCCATTTTAGTCCTCACAAATCCTCACAATTTAGAGCTGTAATTAGGGAATATTTGGCATTCAATAAATTATTCCAATGATTAAGAGGTTGTCATTATAATTGCTGATTACTTTTCTGTCAATCAACAGGATCAAATAATTTCACCTCAAGTTGAGTTTACGGTTTGATAAGTGAGAAAATCAACTGAAAAGAAGTTAAAAATAAATTGTTACAACATTTCCTTATATCATTTTCATCCAAATGTCCAGGTAAATAAATCAAGATAAAATCCAGTGAGGACTCAAGCTGCCTTTCCCAAGACCACACACAAAGAGTGCTCCCCTGGAACTTATTATGCTGTCGTTTCTTAGAGAGGTTTAGTGTGAACCTCAGCTCTGTCTCTTTAAAAATCTCAACATTCAAAATACGTGTTCAGAGTTGAGCCAGCCTGTTAAGCTTTCCTAAATTATAGTCAACAATAAACACATGCAGAGAAAATATGCCTGCAGGAGGTTTCAGCAGACTGTGATACAACTTGGTACAGAGATTCCTTCGTTACCCACAGTCACGAAGAATATAAGTATCAGATATCTATTCCATCAGTTCCTGGAATGAAGCACAATGAGTGATGTTTTCTGGTATACCTGAGGAGAACTGGTGGTTTCTTCACAACACTTTCACAGTGAATCATGAATGTGTGTACATGTCACATTATCTTGATATACCGTGAATGATCTAAGTTGTTTGCTTCTTTGCTAACACACTCCCTGCAAACCTAATTTGGGCACCTTTACAGCTGCCTTCATGTTTCAGGGAAATGATGAGCCCTTATGTGGGAAAGCTATTATCCTCGACACAAACACGAGTGTGTTGTAGCACAAAAGGGCAGCACAAAACCAGTCAACTCCTCTTTTTTTTTCCCACCATCCTGGAATCTGTTGTTTTAAACCAGCCCCTTTCCGTTAGATTTGGCATTATTCAAGCTTGCACATGGATGTGAGGAGAGCAGCTCCTCCTCCGTAACACTGTCCTTGGGGCCATTTGTTTTCCATCATTCTAGCAGATTGGAGTCATGCTCGCTGTGAGTCATGCATGGTGGGTGGATGTCTACACTGGGTGTGGTGGGTGAGGGATCGTAGTGGCGCTTGTGGCTGCAAAGCAGAGGCATAAAACGTCCAATTTGGCGAACAATTGCACGAATGCAAATGAATGGATAGGGAACTTTTATTGTGATCACAGAGAGTTAAAAACAGCGCTTCTGGGTGTGTAATTCCTAATCTCAGTAGTAAGCAGCACAAGTGACCCGTCAACAGCTGCACAAACATACTGATCAGCATTTTGTACAAAGTCAGTTAAAATTACTTTCACTAGCATATTTAGTTTTGTATGCTGCTTTAGTTCACAGAAACTGTGTTTATGCGTGGGTACAATATTGTGTGTTTATGTAATAACACAGTGGCTGAAACCTTATCTCAATATTCTGTTTCGACTTCCAATGTGTGCCCCAGATGAGTTCCAGCTGCAACAAGCACGCTGCATACTATAGACCAGCAGACGCTGGTTGCACGCCTGCAATCCATAAAAAGAAAGAAAAGAAAAAACCCCTCCCGAATCACTCCTTCTTATCCCACCTCCGCACAAAACTTTGCCAATTTTGAAAAGTGGCGACTCAAGCAGCAGCAGCAGCGGGAGGAGTTCACCACTTTTCTTTTTCACAGTCGACTATCTGTCTTTGAGGTGAGTCAAGGTAATTGCTTCCCTCAGGCGCTGTTTTTTTTTTTAATTCAGTCTTTCGTGGCGTCTGCTACACCTGCCTGCCAAGCTCCAGCGCTGATGGGCGCGGCTGGGACCTGTGCCCAAATCTCTAGTTTTGACTCGCCTGGGAAAGTTAAGCAAAAAGGCACAAAGGGACTGAGGACTTAAGAACATCCCACCACGACGCCTCAACTTCATATAGACACGGACGGGAGCAGTCGGTCTATCTTGACAGGAATCGGGATTTGATTGTTTGTTGTTCGAGCTGGCTGAAGGTATGGATTTTAACAACATAAAGTAGCTACACTGGAATGACCTGGAGACTATTTATATATAAAGTTGTTTATGCTGGATGGTGCGGGGGTTTTCTTTTCCCACCTGGCTGTTGCATCTCTGCACTAACTAATTGCTCTCTGGGAGTTTGGTGGTGGGCTGTCCAAACTTTTTTTTGGCTTCAAAGTTATAGGCTTTTGTCGTATGGAATTGCGGAAAATCCCCTATTATCCCATTAAAACATCTGAAAGTATTTTATAGCTTGTCTTTAAAGTCTTGTAGTTGGTTTTGGGATCCGTTTTCTTCCGGTGGTATCTTTAGAATTAGTCTGTTACAGTGATCTCAGGATAGTTTTACATGTATTTCTGCCGCGCTATTTGCATCCCTCTAAATATATTGCAGGACCTGATACATGTAGCACCAGTTTTATGTGACTACAGCCTTGTATATTTGCTGACCAGATCGGTTGCAGGCTATAATATTGAGGATGGTATAAGCTTTAATGTAGAAAAAACAACAACAGATGTATTCAGAAATGTTGGAAAGGGGAAAAATAGCATTCTTTGGATTATTTCTGCCTTTGTATTTTCTAAATGTGATGTTAAAGTGTGCAGTAAATGAAGCACATGCTGCTAAATGTCCTTGGCTGGCAGGGTGTGGTGAGAGGATGGTCTTTCAGAGCTGCTCTTTTGTTCTTTTGTTAGTTCTTCAAGGACACGACGTGAATAAGAAATCCATTGAAATCTATAAATGATGCTTTGTAAGCTATGGGGCCTTTAATGTGGTTTCCATTATTCACATGACATTTAAACATCTATTCAAAGTTGTTCATTTGTAAATACGACAGAGGTGATGTCTTCTACCTGCTCTATCTTGGGCCTACTGCAGAATTTCTGTATTAGTCAAAATCAGTAAAAGCAGAATTATCGAGAGAAATTGGATCCACTGAAATATTGGATTATGTTTTTAAAAAATATGATCATGTGACTGATGACATTTGTCAGTCTTCAGTGGTATGAAATTTCACATTGATGCAGTAAACATGAGGTACAAACGGCCTGGTCTTTAACCCAAATCATTCCGGGAATAACAACCGGCATTTGCCCTTTTTCCCGTTAAATGTTTGCTAAAATGCCATTTAAACAAGTCAAAGAGTAAACGGACTTTTAACAACAGTTGGCGCAGTAAACGCATGACTGTGGTCAACATTTTATCATCATCATCTCACCAGATTAAAATGGGATGGACGAGTTAACGAGACAGATGGACTTCTCAGGAGGCTTGTCAGAAGAAAGGGGTGAGATTTCAGAATTTATTTATGTTTTTTTTAAAAAGAGTTCACCATGTCAACACGAGTTAAAGGGCTGGTTCACCCAAAACACATTCACACACTTGTAGCTGTCGATGTATGCAGATAATATGGGTTTTATACGCAGAGTGTTAGCGATATATACGCCACTGAAATGTCTCTGGCAACGCAATGGAAACATGTATTTTCCAAAAAACAATGCAGATCTCAGTGTGGCAAGAGATATGAAAATATGACATAAAATGTAAGAAAAAGTGTAACTGACCCAAAAACACCTACACACTTGTTTTCTTGGGTGATGCTTTTGTCTCTCTTATTTGGGGGCTTACTATCTCTAACGTCATGGCATGCCTTCACTGGTGTCGGTTTCCATTTCTGTTCCTCGCTCTCAGGGTGCAAGTCATCCTCCGGGTTTTCCTCCAGTCGTCATAACTGAATGTAAAAGCGCAGCTCATCTTGGCCTAATGACCTTTGACACGGAGCAGGATGGCGAAGCCGAAGGAACGCCTGATTATATGTTTGATGCTAACTGAGAAGAACATATAATGAGCAACCCTGTTGTCCTCATGTTCTTCTCTTCTTCTGTATGTCACTTTTAAAACAACGTTTGTATCGTTTACTCTCAAAACTGTTTGTTACAAAGTGCTTTACAGAAGAGTGAAAGGACAGAAAACACAAAAGCTTATACGTATTGGAAGATGATATAAAACCAAAATAAGTTTTAAGATGATTTTCATGCACTGATTTGGCTTCTTCTGGACTTTGTTGGAGATTGTTTAAAAGTTGAGGAGCAACGGCATCAAAAACATGACCACCTTTAGTTTTGAACCTTGACTCTGAAACACACGAAAGTCCCTAAAAGGGTGAAGAACAAGGAGGAGGAGGACAGGAGCGAGGAGGCAACATGAAACTGAAATGGAATTTATATTATCTTGTTAAAACGCAACAGGCTGCAGCTGGAGAACAAGATGCCTCCTAGTGGAGGAAGTGTGTTGTTTTAATATTAATTATCTGCACCCACTTCATTATAAACACAACGGGATTTACATAAACTGTATTTAATGAATTCCCCACACTTCCTAGTATGCCTCTATGTATTATGAGACTAAAGGGCAAACACATAAACATACATGTTCACAGCATGCAAAGCCAAGTTTAGGTTGAAGGTTCATTATTGCCCTTAAAAATAGTAGTTTAACAAAAAAAAAGAAGATATTTGAGCACAAAGAACCACTTACTTCATGGAGATGATTTAGCTATTATTTCATACTTTATCTCGTGATAACAATTAAACAATCTCCATGACAACTGAGCAAACTCTATCTGCAGATGAAGGCCGTTAGATCTGGCTGAAAGCTCAGGAAACATCAAAGCTGTATCACTCCCAGAAAAGACTGACATGTAGGATATAGTTGTGTTTGTTTGTTTTTAAATTTGACAATAATTTATTATGTCATCTAAATAAACCTTAACTTGAATTAAAACTACTTAAACATTTACACACGATTACTCTCAACATTCAGAAATGTTGGAAACACTTTCTAATCACCTGTTATAAAGAGTTTATAAGCTGCAACTAACGGCTTCAGGTAGTTAGTCACTTACGGTACTAATGCGTTATTAAACAGCTCTAAACCTTTGCTGGTAACAACAATGTTTAAGTCGGCAGTTTGTGGAGAATCTCTCTGGCTGGTGAGTCATTATTAGTCAAGTGTTTACTTAAAAGTTATGAATGTTTAACTTTCTAATACACCATCGAGTCTGCAGTTATACCTATCATCAACGTTAATAAGAGGCTGCAGGCTTCTTACTGTCTAATAAGGGTTATTATAATGATGATATTAATCCATTTAGCATGTACTTGTAAATGTTATTAACTTTTGAATAAATTGATTGTGGTTGAAGAAGGTCAGAGGTCCTGAATGAATTAAAGAGTTAGAAAGACAAAGCAACTGTCCTGCTGGAGGAGGATAACAACCAAACCTGGCAACCTAAAACGTTTTTCTTACTGATGACCGATCACTGATATTAAGCATTGTTATAAAATTATTATTATTATATTGTTATTATCAAACTATATTACAAAGTGCTACTGAAAGTGTTACTACAGCGCCGCACTGATGGTAAAACCATCAACCCTGTATCAATCAAAGCCACATAAATCTAACTCTGGAAGGGTAACAATCATCACCAGGCCAATCACTCAACACTCCAGACAGAAGTGATAGATAACTCTCAGGATAATACACTCATCATTTCCTTTGTTTTTTATGTGCTCAGTTGTGCGGGAAACTGTAACCTCCACGTCCCGACTGACTTCTCTACCACCAAGTGAGTGTCTCTTTCTTCAAGTCACGCTCGCTTTAATTATAAACTAAATGCTTAAGACAATAATTATAGCCGAGCAGGTCTAAAGGAAGTACCCGCTGAGTAACGCCGTCTCCTTGTTTTGCTGTGTGTCTTCTCGTTGCTAGAGGGAACCAGCGGATCAAATCACAGGAATATGTCCAGCAGTGCTGGAGGGCTGGGCTTGGAGAAGAATGTCTTAACCCAGAACAGCGGTGGAACTTATTTCTCTTCATGTGAGAGCACATTTCCACTCATGATCCAAAATTGGGAAGTTGTGGGTTGGTCTTTGGACGAGTTTTTGAGACGTTGAATGTTGTATTTTTAACAACCAGTAGAAAGAAAGAGAAGTACTGATTTAGATTTTGTTTCACATCACTTGCAGTTTTTAAGAACTTCCAGTTCTTCACTACATTTATTTGACTGGTATAGCTGCGGGTTACTTTAAAAAGTCAGATTTTGTATACAAAATGTATGAAGAGCTTATAAATTATGAGGCTTTATTATAGATCAAACTACCCAACAGTATACCTGTGCACAATAAGGGCAGACACAGTTTATTACACATCTTACTAATCAAATAGTCCAAATCATTTGAGAACTGTTTTGATGATCCGCTTTAAAAAAGGTAATGGTTCCAGCCTGTCAAATGTGAGGATTTGTAGATTTCACCTTATTATTATCATCATTGTTATTATTATTGTTGTCAAATAGTCAAAACAAACAATCTCAAAGTGTCAGATGTCAACTAATCAGTCAATTAATTGGTAATTAATTTGCCATATAGAAATAGCTCCACCTCAACCAACTTATTTACTTACACATTAACTGAAGTATCTGAATACTGCCTCCACCACTGTCCATAGCTTCCTGTGATTTCCTAGAGAGGAACTGAAAATGCAAACAAATAAAACAATTCTTGCAAAGAGCTTTGTTATTTGGTCCATAAGGAACATGGACACAATATTGAATCAGTACACTTCCAATAACCTAGATAGTCTTATAGTCAGTGCACAGCAGATCAGCTGAACATGCAAAATGTAAAAAAGAAATGCCTGCAGGTAAGCATAAAGTTCAACAATATGGTGAGTAATGTTTCAAATAATGAATAAACATTTACTTGGGTGTCAAAGGATCAGTGTTTAAAGTCATTAATATCGTTCCCTTATGGAAATTCCTCTGCAAATCAATGACTATTCACAAACCTGACACAATTAATCAGAAATAAATATCTCCTTAATTTTGTAGATCTTTCCACAAAATTCCTAGAAAATTATAAACAAATAATCGGACCTGTGAAATACAGCGTTACTGTTAATGTATATACTTATACTGTTGGGTAGTTTGATGCACAACGCATTATACTCTCATCATATGTTTTGTTTTGATAAAGTAACTACAGCTGTCAGATAAATGTAGCACTTTAATGTGACTCAGGCATATTCCTGTTTGTGTGGACGTGATCAGGTTGCAGGAAATCAAAAATAACCTGCATGCATCATCCCCCCAGCTTCTGTAGGTGTGAACACCAACAGCTACAGCTCCTCCTCAGGAGTTTACCTCGGAGGAGACTCCTTAGGAGGTGATGGAGGGGGGATCTTCATAGACGCAGAGGGGTACGGAAGCGGAGGAAGAGGAGGAGGAGGACTAGGAGGAGGAGGAAGCAGCAAAGGCGGAGGCAGTTATCTGGTAAGCTCGGTGTCAAAGGTCAGGTCCAGCTCGTCAGGTGGTGCCAGGAGAGCGCAGACTGCTGGCTCATCAGGAGGCCTGTCTCCAGTTTACCGGGAGAGGACGCACATATCCAGCCGCTCAGGAGGTTATGAGGGTGAGATCCTGTTAATATAAGAAGTTGGCATCAAGGGGAGCCTGAAACAGAAGCACAAAAAGTTCAGGAAACGGTCGTGCACGAGGGCGCTGTTAATATCTCTGTTGCCATTGTGTTTTTCTTTTCTAGGAAGTTCCAGTGCCAATTCCTCTCCAGAGTTTGCACGCAAAGATTATGGAATCTATTGTAAGTGAGAGTGACAGCTGTATGTGATTATATACTTTATGATTACACAATATTTTTTCAGGTTTAACCTCATATGTCTGTGTTTATGTTTTTTTTTTCCTGTCTGTTTTTATTTTTCCAGGCTCCAGCACCTCAAGAGGGAGGAGCGAAAGCAGAGGTATTAAATAACTATAATAAGCCCCCCCCCTCTTCTCTTCATTATTTCTGCACTATCTGACTCAGAATTGTCCCGGCCTACTTTCTTATTAAATCTGGATTCCTTTGTCCATTTTGTGTGTGTGATTTATTTCCAGAGAGCGAGATCCGAGCCAGATTACAAAGTGCCTCTCCCTCCGCCAGCAGATGTAAGACCACTGGAGACACATTCATCCATTTACTGTTGGTTATGTAATTCCTCATGAAGCAACAAAAGCATCTTTATTACAGTGTGTCCATTCAAAGTACCACATGGATAGTGAAAAGATTGTTTTTTTCCTGCAGGCTCACTTCAGAGCAGTATGTATTTTGAAATACGATGCTGTCGAATGCTTTGGCTCAGTATAGGACATTCCTACACCTGTCCCATGCATGTTTATGTCCATGAAATCTCAATTAGTAACACATGTGCAGTTCACCCCAGACAGAAGGTGTACAGAACGTCAGCACAAGGAAAAGCGTGAGATTTTAAACAACGAGGATCATGGGTTTGTTTGCATTGTGTTCATGTGGGGAAGAAGTGAAGGGCCAGATTTGTGGTGGCAACAATGGCACACATGAGTCACTGTTTGCAGCACCACCCTTTTAAAGCAAAGCAGTGGAGAGTCAGAGATTTACAGACGCTGATCGCTCCCCCTGCTGACTAAAGTGCATAACTGTTATTATTTCCTTCACATTCTGTGCCACCTTTAACCTACCTAAACACAGCTGGGTCTCAGATTGCAACAGTGCATATTATGTAGTGGTGGAAGAAGTATTTATTCTTACATTTATTTACTTTAGCAATCCAACAGCATGGAATGGAATTGGTACTGTTGGCCTACTCGAGTACATTGTGGAGGAACTTTTACTTTACATTTTATGCTACTTTATATTAAGTTGAATACATTTCGGGGGAAATGTTCTTTTTACTCCACTACATTTGGCAGATTAGTCTCTTTCAAGATTTCACACACAAAACACATGAATGACTCATAGAGTATGATGCATTGATGAAAAGCTTACGCCTTGACAAAAAAGATAATGTACAAGCTGGAGTGAGTCCATTATGTTATCTGTAGGGTGGTGGAATTTAAGGAAGCCCAGAGTTCATTGAAGATGATTAAGGAGCTTGTCACCACATCCGCACACCTGATCCCACTCCTGTAATCAAGCACACCCAGACAATCAAAGAGAGAGCGGGCTAGCAGGAAGAAGCAGAAAGTAGAACAACTCTACCTTACTCGTATGATTGGAGCACATTCTGTCGCCAATACTTTTGTACTTCTACATCTGTTAAAATTATGAGAGCAAGAGCTTTATTTTTAATGAAAATACTCCATTACAAGTAAAAGTCCTTTGTACTCAAGTAAACAGAGGTAGGCTATAACCGCCCACATATACTTAAGCATTGAAGGTACAAATACTGATTATGAATGACCACTTTCAAAGTATTAATTATGTTGTTGTATATTTAGAGTTTAGACTTTTATATTAGTGCACTCTCTTGCCACACAGAGAAAGCTAACTAGCTATACAGCTAAAGTAAGCTAGCTTGTAAGTTAGTGGCTAGCCTTAGCTAAAACTAAAGTTCAGTTTACTTATTGATTTAGCCGTTTTTGGAAAATGTCCAATTTGATAGACTGACATTGTGCCAATTCAGTTAGTAATTCGACATAACTAATTGAAGCACTAAGTTAACGAAATCCAATCATGATGGAGGAAAATAAACTTAGCTTAAACTGTGCTATTGCTAACTAGCTTAGCAGATCTCAGCAACTGCCATTCAAGCTTTGGTGAACTCAAGTGAATTTCATATGATTTGGTGTGGTTAAGGTACCTTTTAGATGAGATATATATACATATATCTCTAACTGTTAATAATTTATTTCATTATACATTTTAAGAGTGGTCAGACAGTCAACTAGTGCAGCAGAGAGAGACATTTAATTTCTATATTGACTGTAAATGAGCAAAATAAAGTTCATTAAACAATTTATTTAAAATGGAAGAAAGCTGAAAGAACACATTAGTTGGTAGATACTGGGTTTTTCCTGAAGATTAACTGAAGGCAGAGTGCAGTATACTATCTGTATTTCTAGGTAGGCCCTATTGAAATGAAAGCATTACAAACTTTGTTACACGGTTTGCTGTCCAGCCTGACAATAATAAATGCGACTCTCTGCCCGTAGTGTAGTTTGTCAATTCAGTAAATATAATTGAGTAAAAAGTACAATATTTGACACCTAATTTTAGTGGAGTTTAGTGAAATTAGAAGTACCTAATTTTGCTTCCTGAAATGAATTGCTCTGAGATATTGCAGTATTATATTTGTTGAGCATTGTTTGTGTGTTTTGCAGGGACGGAGCTGGATGACGTGAAGAAGCTGCTGAAGGGACGCTCCTGCAGCGTCAGCCCCACTCGCTCCTCCAGCGCCTCCATCACTCTCCCTGTCCCTAAAAAGGCCAGCGTGGAAACCAAGACCGTCTCTGTGGCCACTCAGTCGGGTATATACCCTTACCAGTCGCACACATGCACATAGTCTACATGCACAGACACGTTGTCTCCCTCCTACAGATGTGTGGTTTAAAATAGCCTCTCATGTATTAGCATTACATCTCAGTGAATCCTGAAATACTTCTCTGCTGCACAAATAAAATGACATACAATATCTCCTTTCTCATTGGAATATATCAATACATTTTTTATGAATGAAGGGTAAACACACTTTACACTGTTTTGATTTATGTCTTTTCTTTCCTGCAGGTTCATTTGGCTCTGGTGTGAGATCAGCTGGGTTCCAGACCATCGATACATCAGGATTTTATGATCCCGCTCTGACATCTGGGCAGTTTGATACTGGTGTAAAATCGGGCCAGTATGATGTTGGTCTGAAATCAGGCCAGTATGATACTGGTGTGAAGTCAGGACAATATGACATGAGTTTGAAATCAGGGCAGTATGACACCAGTGTGAGATCAGCCCAGTTCGATACTGGTGTAAGATCAGCCCAGTTCGATACTGGTGTGAGATCAGCCCAGTACGATACTGGTGTGAGATCAGCCCAGTACGATACTGGTGTGAGATCAGCCCAGTATGATACTGGTGGGAGATCAGGCCAGTATGACACGCTGGACGCTACACTTCCTACTTTCACCTGGTCCACCACGACCCTGCCCTCCGCCTCCACCACAGTGGTCACTGGCAACACCACCAGCTACGCGTACCAGGCCGGCACTAACAACATGCCGGGAGGATCGTTGCCGGGAGGCCTCACCTCCCCCTCGTCCCTGTCAGGTGAGACCAAACGTCCCTTGAACATTACCCGTTACCTGCAGGTGAAATGTCGTCTTATTTGTAGTAAGAGATGTTTGGGTGACTGTTTTATCTCTAGTGCTATATTATGTACTGTATATGGATATAGTTACACATAAATAAACAACAATGGTTTGTTTTATTTTAATTTTTATTTCCATGTATTGGTTTTCTTGTTTTGTGAATATTCATGTGTGTGTTATTTTATGTTATTTAATTAAATCAAACCTTGCATTCTGTTTACAGTTTACGGCTTCCAGAATAATCTGGCTCCCACTTCTGCCAGTGTGCTCACCACCAGTGGAGGCAACATTAATGCTACTACCATTGGAGGTACGGCAGCATGTTCGAACAATTTCCACTCTATCTTACATCCTACATATTTTGCACTCTAAAATAATACACAATAGCACCTTTCTATAGCAAGTGTTTAACTTTGTGTGTTTGTATTTACAGGTTATGGCGTTCAGAAGAACTTGTCAAATGGTGGTGGTGTCGTCAGCTCTGGAGTCTCTACAAGTAAGTCCGCAATAGTTTAAAATATAATCACAGTCAAAAACAGTTCTCAAACTTAAATTATTCCTGACTGTCTTGTCTGTTGTCAGCCACTAGATCCCAATCTGATGATGCATACAAGAGAGACTATAAGTTCCTGATCTCTGAAAAGGAGAACGTTCCACTCAAGAGGGATGCAGAAATGCTCATTATGGCTAAAGACAGTGGGAAGCAGTTCACCAGCAGCAGCGTTCAGATGGGAGGAGGTGAGTCAGCTACTTACTGCCTCCTTCTGGAGAAACACTGAATTTTCTCCCAATTTAATAGGTTTCTCAAATTTTGTACACCCAATTTCCTCACAGCCACAGCAGGCTGTAAAGCTTATTTAAACAGTGTACACTGTACAGATATTCTGTTTTAAATAATAGCATCCCATGCAGCCTTGGTATTGGTCACTTTGGAGGCTGTTCATAGACGGTCCTGATCCCTTTGTTAAACTATCTCAGCATCGATCCAACATTTCTGTTTCTTAAAGAAGCATGAACAACCTGATCTGACTTTGAATGAGCATTTACAAGTGTTTCTAATGGTTAGATTTCATAAATCATTTTAATCAGAACAGGAACTGAAGTACGATCACCATTACCATTTATTTGTTGTCTTGGGGACAGAAAAAAAATATTATAAAAAACAAATATTTATTATTTATTTATTTTCTTCCTCCTCCTCCTTTTAAATTGAAGATATTTGCTTGATTATATACTTACGTATATTAATGTTATTCTTATTTACTTTTTTGTCTTTGTTGGTAAAGCCCTCTCTGTGTTGTGACTATTTGTATTGTATCAAATTGATTGTTCTCTCATTCTCAAACAGCTGTGTTTTTTTGGTTCTGCTTGTTCAACACAATAAATACAATAAAAGTAGTGTTTTAAAAAAGTGCTTCTAATTTTACAGGGTCGTTATCGGGAGATTCAATTAAGAAAGAGAAGCTTATTTCAAGCTACGGTGAGAAAATGCCACTGAAGACAGAGACGGGCAACTCTTACTGTGAGTACTTATTACAAACATCTAAAAACTAAAAATGCTTTGATTCTAGAAATAGATAAGTGATGTTTTTTTTTAATTTCTTCATCAGATGGATCATCTGGAGTTGTAATGAAAGACAAAGCCACCTATGCAGGTATTTTGGATTGCAAATATCTTAATATTTACATTAATGATGAATATTTTAGTGTGTGGAAGTGAGGATTTTGCGCTCTACTCTCTCCGTCTGCAGAGATTCAGAGGGACAGCGGCATCTTCGGAGGAGGTGGAGGACTGTGCTGCTGCTCCGACGCTTGTTGCTCTTGGTGGAAATGGCTGCTGGGTCTTCTCCTCCTCTCCCTGCTCCTGCTTGGACTCCTGTTTGGGCTCATTGCACTGGGTAAGGCTAACACAACGACATTTAATAGAGAACAATAAAAATCTCCCCAAAGATAAAACCTTAGGAGTCGTGGGATACTCTCTGGAGCTACTCTGCAAAGAAACGCGTGGGAGGGAGCGCTTTTGTTAGTTTCTAAACGATAAAATGTGTGTTTTAGCTTTTACAGGCTGGTGAGCATTATTTCACAGTGCTGCTAAGAGCTGTGGGACAGTAAATGTAATCCCCTCTCTGGAAATTTGATCCGTGGGTACTGTCTCACTGCCATAAAGTCGGTCTGGCATTCATTCTCAGTGAAACAGCTCCAGAAATGCTTTCTTGATGACATCAGAGGCTGCAGTTTGTTTTCCTGCAGCAGGAGACTTGTTGATGTGAATTCATCCTGATAAAACCATTTGCAACCTCTAATTTGAGGTATGCTTTTACTGGTATGTAAGCTTGTGCATGCCCAAACCTGTTGAGCAGGTACTGACTGAGTAAAGTTATCTGATAGGCCTACATACAGTCGACTATCTGTGTAGTTCCTGACAAAACCGAAGCTGAAAAGAGTAATGTTCAACTGCTCTGTAGCAGGTTAAAGAGGTAAAAAAGCAAAGGTTTTTGTGAGATTTTATTGTATTTTATTTTTTACATACATCAATATACTGCATATGTTAAATATGAATTGATTAGTAACAGGTTCATGATCTTGTGAGTTACATCTGAACACACAGACATGATGCACATACTTTTAGATTCACTGTGACATGATTATCATTATGTCCGTAGTAAATAAATGTCCAAAGAGCTGCTGAAAGAAAGTGTTCCTTGCAACTCCAGAACTTGCTTGAGAATCATGTTTTTCTTAAGTATGGAAGTAATCCAGTGATGGTTAACTGTTTTATGATTTTAAATGTTATATCTTATACTATTCTTTTTTTTAAATCAATGATATATTTCACCACCCCATTCCAAAAGATACAATTTTTGTATTGATTATTTTTTTATTTATATTGTCCTTTTTACAGTTTACCTGTAAATTCAGTTGATTGAATAGTCAGAATGTTGCATTTAGGTGTTATTTAGATCAGAAAAATGTCTTCCCTGATGACCATTATTACTGTTTTAATAGTAACAATAATAAACTTAATTTTTATAGCAAAATGTCATGGATAAATGAAACACAAACTGCTTTACATGAAAGTGAATGCAAAACAAATAATGATGTCCTTTACCATAAAATAAGAGAGATAGTTAAGCATTCAACTGTCAATTTTCCGAAGGCTTCTACCGCGGATACGTTCATCACCTGTGGAAAACACAGTAGTTTATTTATTACAGATTGATGATATTTTCTGACTACTGGTTCTTGTTATGTTTATCTTATCAAATGTTGACGTCTCTTTCTCAGCTGAAGACGTGAGAAAGCTGAAGAGTCGAGTGGCCTCGCTGGAGTCCACGGGGGCTTCTGCTGTTGCCAGCCAGCGATTAGGTTCTCCTAATGACATCGGCCTCTATGGGACCGCTGGAGCTGGAGGTACCGGCAGCACTGACAACACGCTGAATCTCGACGGTAGAGGTGGAGGTGTAACTGGTACTGGCGGCTCGGCTGGCGGAAGTGGCATTGATGTCATCGTTGGAACTGATTCTGCTGGCTCTACTGGGGCTAGTGCTGGAGGTGCCGGTACCAGTGGCAGGACCAGCGGTACTGATACCAGCTTCATTGGTGGCACTGGCCTCGGGACCGGAGGACACTTAAACGCTGCTGCTCTTCAGATGACGATCCAGAAGATGTTAAGATCTGAAATGCAGTCACAGTCATACAGAGGTACTGCACATATATACTGACTACATGAATACACACACACACACACACACACACACACACACACACACACACACACCCTGCATTTAAGTTCATCGAACTGTTGTTTTCTATCTCAACTTTTCTAACATCGTCAGTGCAGGGAGAGAGAGGACTGCCTGGACCTAAAGGTGAAATTAAAATATTTATTTCATAAAATCTAAACATATACTCTTTTTTTTTTTTTTCAAGTTAATTAACACGAGTGTATTTTTTATTCTTTTCAGGGGACTCTGGAACTAAAGGTCAGGAAGAAAATCACTTACTGTAACTTTAATTCAGCTACTGTGGACTGTCATCTTAATTAAATATGCTTTACTCATCACAGGAGATTCTGGTTTCCCTGGACTTCCAGGTGAGCAATGATGACTAATATTTTCATTGAATCATTACCATTTTTTAGCAATTTCTTGGGAATTTTGCGCTGCACCGTGATGTGATTTTACTGACTGTGACCTTTGACCTCAGGTGCTCCGGGTGCAATGGGACATGCAGGCCCTGAAGGTCCAAAAGGACAGAAAGGAGTCCAAGGTACAGAAAACGCTTCAGTTGAAACTACACCGTGCAAGTACACTGCTTAGCTATTATTAATAGTGAGGTGTTTTATCTGTGTGTAAAATGTCTGATCAGGTGATCATGGACTGGATGGGGCACCAGGCATCAGGGGTCGCGAGGGCCCGGGTGGCCCCAGAGGTGAGGCAGGATCTTCAGGCTTTACAGCGAAAGGTGAAAGAGGTATGGCTCAGATTCCCAGCATCAACAGAGCTTTTGTGTGTATTAGTAATACTAATGAGACCTAGTTTATCTTGACTGTGTCACTGCAGTATCTCGTGTTTTGTTTTATGCAGGTGCCCCTGGGGATACTGGGTCCGTCGGCCCGGCTGGACCAAAAGGTGACAATTGTTCTAGACTTCTGACCATTCAAAGAGCTGTACACTACATGTCATCATTAGCCCATTCACACGCACACATTCACACACTGACGGCAGGCTGCCGTGCAACGTGCCAACCTGCCCATCAGGATCTAAATTCATGCACATTCATGCACGCTCACACACCGATGGCACAGCCGCCGGGAGAAATCTTTGGGTTTAGTATCTTGCCCAAGGACACTTTGACATGTGGACTGGATGAGTCGGGGGTCGCCGATCTTCCAATTAGCGGACGACCCGCTATACATCTGAGGAAAACAAATGAAATAGAAAAATAAGTTGAAATACATTAAATAAATAATAATTCAAATAATGATAATAATAATAAATTGGAAGAAAACCTCAAAGAAACTAACCAATTTGAGTGGCAGATAAAAGTAAGTTGGGGTTATCACTACATAAAAAGAAATCCTTTTAAATCAATTGTGTGTTTTTACATACAATTACGGTTGGTTTTAATTGCTGACAAAAGGTGCATTTGTAACGTTTCATTGCCTCATCGTGTATGAACGTCAAACGGCACCAGGTGGCAGCATTTAGATAGCGTGTGAATAAAGCCTCCATATTGTTTTGTAAAAAAGCAAACGAGCTCTACCTTGAGGGAGACACATACAGCAATTAAGAATGAAAATACCCCCAAATGATGAATTGTAGTTTGATATCTTTACTGTATTACAATTATTCATGTTTTTGATAGAATAGCAGCCTTAACAGTTAAAATCTATGTGTGATGTCAGTAAAGTATAAAGAAAAGAAAAAGTGATTCATTTGCAAGTTTTAGGATAATTAGGCTTTTATAAAGTTAGTTCCACATTAGTTAATTTAATGTTCTTATTCAACATTGTTTTTCCTTTCTAATAATTCTGAATCTATGATCTAGGTGCACCTGGAGTTCCTGGACTTTCTGGAGCACCAGGTCAGTTTCTCCCGGTCATCATTCATGTAGAGCATCACTGTGACTCCAGAAACACCGGCTGAGTTTAATTCAAATTTACCAACTGAAACTATTGTTAGCATTCTACATAAACTGTTTTGTTCAACGTCAACATAGGTCTTCAGGGTTTCCGTGGCGAGGCAGGGCAACCTGGATCTAAAGGTGGGTCACATGGAAAAACACCCTGAGATTCCTTGTTAGTTTATTTTATATACTATAATGTTACTCACAGTCACTGTTGTCCCTCAGGCGACAGAGGGCTTGGTGGACTCCAAGGACTTAAAGGTTTGTTGTAACTACATCAGTTTCTCACAGGACTTGTGGGGTCAGTGAATGCGTCTAACTCTATTTGAATTCATGTTTATCTTAGGTGAATCTGGTGACACGGGTCTCAGAGGGGTCAAAGGTCAGTATAGCTTTTGTGAATCAAACTGTATTTGAAGCTGTCAAATCAGCATGTTATACACTCTTTGCAGTTTTCTAAAACAGTCGTCTCACTCCTCAGGTGATCCTGGTGTATCAGGGCTGCAAGGGTCAGCCGGAGAGAGAGGACCCAAAGGATCAACGGGTGAGTCACAGGAGCTCCAGCCTCAGATGATTAATGATGATAATGAATTCTCAGACACTCAGATTATGGTATTGTGCTTAGCTTAGCTTAGCATAAAGACTGGGAGCAGGGGGAACAGCTAGCCTGGCTCAGTCCAAACACAATTCACCCACCAGCACCTCTAAAGCTCATTAATTAACACGTCATATCTTGTTTGTTTCAACCAAACAACAACAAAAAAACAATGTGGTAACATGACAATTTGCTTTTTTATGAGGGGTTGTGTGCCGGACTATTTCTTGGCTGGGAGCAGTAACTTCCTGGAGTCTCTGCTGGTTGGAAACTGCTCAAAATGTTGAACTATTACTGTAATAGGTGATGAGTGTGCATCACAACAAAACATTCACCCTTCCAAAAAACGGAGAAAGCACTTAAAAATTGTATATAATCAATATGATTTTATCTTTTTTAATTGTATCCATAAATGATTTAAACAATTTAGATACATTTAGTTTAACTTATTAGCTCACTCATCGTTACTTTTTTTCTTACCTTGTTATTGTTATGCAAACACACCACGGCTGATTTCAATGAGGCAGCAAAGAGAGTATTAAATAACATAATCCTCCAAGGGGCAGCAGAGAGGAGTCTTCTTATAAAGATAAAGATAGACGTTATTTTTCCAGAGGAAAGTTGCTGTGCCACAGGTGCATACAAAGTGGGACGAGTGTAAATATAGAAAGCCTCTTTTGCTCTTCATACTAATAGATTTAAATTGAATACAATTGTTTTCTTTCCTTTCTACGTTGTCAGGGTTGTCTGGAGCCGATGGATTTAAAGGATCAAGAGGTAAATGAGTCATTATACAAGCATTACAGATACATCTATATAAATATTAATCTAATTTGCACAAGGATTTAAAATTTTAAATCTCACTCTAAAGTGTCATTTTTGACCCTCAGGTGAAGTTGGACCTGCTGGGCCACCTGGACTCAGAGGTTCTTCTGGAGATGCTGCATCTCCAGGTAAACTGAAGCTGATGCCACTCTCATGAAACTGGGTCTGCAGCTATTTCAACATTATCATTAGTGGATGATATGATAAGATATATTCATGATACCACCCCC